AGAAAACTGATATATTTGCCCTTACATGAATAGATCTAAATATAAATGGACCTTTGGGTTCATTACTTCTGAAAATATTCTGTGGGATTTTGCCAGAAAGTTGTTGAGGTTTTTCTGTTTGGTTTGGATTTTTTAAAAGTATAATATTAATTTAAGGAACGGTTCCACTGTGTTGAGCATGTGTTAGTAGGATTTGTATTCATGAGGTACAGACAATAGAAAGGCATCCCTGGAACAGGGAAGAAGTGAAAGGATTATACCAACTTAATTTATGAGAAAGGTATAAAAAGCCTTTTATTCTGGCAATACTGTGGCAGGAGAAGATAAATGCACAAACTGAAAAAAAATTAGAGCACTGTTCTCATACAACCTCAAAATATTTATTACTTCTGTGATTAAGCTAACAGTTGAAGCAGCGAGACTGAGGAAAAGTAGGAACTGAAAGTAATGTAGGAAGTCTTCACTTTACCATTTGCAATTCATAAATATTTATGCCAGATAACCTATTAAAAAAATGGGAAAGGGATTAGAGTCACACTTTTATTAATTGACTTATATGCTAAAATTCTTTAGTATTATATACTGACACATTGCCACTCTTTTACCCCAAAATGATAAGGTTCTGTATTTCTGAGAAATGGTAACTAATAAGAGAAAGAAATGTTTATGCCAATCAAGATTTTAGATTATTGTCTCCTATTTATATTTTAGTTAGATTTACACTGTTCTGAATGGGTGCTGTTGAGTTTAAAAGAAGTTTTGAAGTTTGTTTTATAGAAATATCACATCCTAATATGATTGAGGTCACATATTTCTAGCATTATTTTACTAGAAGTTGTTTTGCTAGAAAGCAGTGTCTTGCTTTTTCAGACATACTTATTTTCCACAAGTTTAATTTCTTTAGCGTATCAAGCTTTCATTAATGCTATTTACCATTTGAATTATTATGATTACATTTCTATAGTTGCACATATGCTTGATGATATTCACACCTGGTGTCTTTTACTTCTTTTCTTTACAGCAAATTAAGGAGAGGGGATCGATTTACAGATACACAATTCCTCAATTCCCCAGTCTACAAAGTAAAAAATAAAGGAAATTTTAAAAGCAAATCAAAATTTTATTAAGGAAGAGAGAATTGCCTTTATGGACAATACTTCTAAAATGGGTACAATTGTTTATGTATATATGTATATGTTTAGGAATATAGAGTGTTTATTGTTCTTTGACTAGTAAAGGTCTTCCACAGTGAAATTTTCTGGAGAAGAACCTCTGTAAAAGGGGCACAGAATACTTTACTGAGGAAGGCATATACAGGTTAGGCTCACTCCTGTTTTGCATTTCTGGTCAGTAATTTATAATCTGTTCAAATGGTTTGTAGCACTTCTTAAATTGTTAGAAAAGATATGTTTTAATGAGAAATAAAAATAAACCAGCTTTGGGAATTGTACTGTGAGTTATTCATGCTTATTTTGAGTGGAACCATTTCTCAGTGATGGTTGGAATGGATACACACATGCCAAATTTTTATGAATTTATTGAAATAGATGGAGATATTGTTTTTTGATAGTTGACTTTTGGATTTGACAGAATCCCACTGAGATTTGAACAAGGAAATCTCACTGAGGCATAATGGAGGGAAGTCAAGTGCCCACAGTGTGTGCCAGAGGCAGCAAGGAAGAAAAAAGCACTGCAATAGGAGTTCAGTAGCAGATAGGATCTAGAGAAAGTAACACGTTTAGTTTCCAATTGAGAGTGCCAGTGTGACAAGTAATGCAATAATGTCATACCATTCAGCTTTCAGGTTTTTCTACTGCTTCCCCTCTGCATTCTATAATGTGCTGTCAGCTGACAGTTTTCTGGCAGTATCTGATTTGTAGATGCTACCAGAGGCTCACTACCCACACAGCTTTTACACATTACAATAGATAAGATTCAGGTTAATTTTGCAACAGAGAGGCATTTTTGATGAGATAGAAATGAGTTAACTTATTTTGATTATAGATGGTGGTTCTTCATGCATATGCAGTAGATGATACTAGTTTACACAGGCTTAAAAATTGATCAGACACATTAATGGAAGAAACATCTATGAGGAATTAACAGAAACACAATTTCTGGCACAGGATGTTCCTGAATTGCAAATTTTTAAAGGCTGGAAGATGATTGTGGAGAAGCATTACTATGCCTTTGACCAATTTTTGTACCTTTTCCAAGGACATTCCCTGCTGACACTTTTAGAGACCAGTTCTTTGGTTAGCTTGACCTTTGGTCTAATACAGCATGTCTCTTTAAGAGGTATAACTGATATTCTTAAATTTATAATGTATTCTTTAAAAGTATATTCTTAAAATACAATATATTCTTTTAAAATTATAACATATGCTTTAAAACATTCTTTTAAATGTACTCTTTGTACTTCATTGTAGATTACATTGTAAGCTGGGAAGCTGATGGAGAAAATAGTCCTTTAACACGTGTTAAAGACAAGAAGGTGGCATTGATTTGTAATCAGGAAATCAGACTTTATGAACCGGATAGTCTTCTCCAACTAGCTTGGTGGGTGAGGGCAGAGCACTAGATGTTTGTTTCTATTATGGTAGGGCTTTTGACATTTTCTCTGACAGCATTCCGCAGACAAACTGACGAAGTATGGGTTTGTTAAGGGCACAGTGAGGTGAGTTGAAAAGCTGGAAGGTTGTGATTAGTGCCAAATGGTCCAGCTGGAGGCAAAACATTAGAGCTCCTTAGGGTTTCACACTGCTGCCAGCAGTGATTAACACGTTCACTAACAATCTGTATGAGCCAGTGCACCCTACACAAGTCTGCAGTTGATCTGAAACTGGAAGGAGTGGCTGAAATACCCCATGATTCTGTCACCATTCAGAGGGATCTGATCAGGCTGGAGAAATGTGCTAAGAGGAATCTCAAGTTCAATAGGAGGAACCTACGTCCTTCTGCGGTGAGTTGCCAGAATTTCAGCTGTGTATTTTGACAGAAAAGGGACTCATACATATCAAAATACACTCCTGGATATAACATTTCAGGTGTGTACATTCTACATGTAAGTCTGGAACTATAACAATAAACACCAAAATGCTTAAGTAATACCAAAACTATTTTCTGCAGTGGTTATTTTACTATGGTCTGTAGCCCTAAGGCAGCTTCCTCAAGATCCTGTAGGACTTCCCATGTATGAAGTTAGAGTTAAATGTATCACTAGTGAGATAGTTTACATTTATTCCCTAAACAGAGAGTTGTCTAGCTGTGGTTACCAGTTGCAAAAATCATGTAAAGATTGTAAATATACAGCAGTAAGTAGAGCAAGGTATTTTCATATAGAACCTTGCCATACAAATAGAGTTTTCAATCAGTATGAAAATTCTTCCAATAAAAAACTTACCTCATCACCCAGGCAATGTCATCTGTACTGCAAAACAGCTGTTAACATTATCTGGGAAGTTTCAGCAGACAGACTTTATTCTTTGCATGCTGTGTATGTCACTCCATTAGCAAGACTATTATGAAGAGGTGCAGAAATTGTTGGGAAGATAGATTCCATCCTTTTTCAATGTTATTTTTTAGAAAGAAGTACATATAGAAATTATTAAGCATTTTCCTTGTTTTTTATTACCAAGTTTGTAATTAATTTATTTTATTTTTAATTGAAATGTTCTTTCTAGCTTCTACTATTTATCAACATCATCAGCTGTGTCATTAGAAACCCTCAAGAAATACCTGTTAAAACTTGTGTTCCCAGTGCTGGCACTGCAGAAGCAAAACACAGTGTTTTTTTAAATGGTTGTTTCTCTCTACTGCCTGTGGTTTGAAAGCTAGAAACAGAGGCACATGCTTTATCTTCTCAGAAAATAAATAATCGCTTTGGGGATGGGCTTAATTACTTTTTCAGTGAAGGTCTTGTTGTTCCACACAGCCTCAGGTGTTACCAGCTAGACTGCTAGCGTGTCCCAAACACAAGCATGTAATTTTCAATAGAAGTAAAAGGCCCGAGGCTTTATGCCTTCATTTCTTCCATTCCTTTAGTACAGATATCCTTCCAAGTAAAAAAGGATAAAGAAAGTGGCCTGAAGATCACAGAAGTTATTTTAAGTAACTGTAAAATCATATTATTGCTACTGCCCTTCTTTGCTTGTTTTCTCCATCCTCACTGTTGTTGCTCAAATTGAAGTTCAATAACAGAACACAGAGAAAACCCACTTTGTTATTTCCTAGGTTGCATTTCTTTTTATTGTTACACAAAATGATCACATAAAAGCAGCATAGAGAATGTTGCATTGTCTTTGAACCTTCACTATGTGCTTGTTTTACCAGGTCATTTGATAAATTAGAAGCTCTTTCCAGAAAAATGATGTAAAAGCAGCTCATGATTTTTGACATAAAAATCAATTTGTAGCCATCACCAGGAATTAGGATAATTTTCCTGAGCATAAGGTAATTTGAACTTCTTTTTTTAGCTTTAAAGTTGCTTTTTCTCATGTTTACTCAATGTAATTGAAATTTGGTAGGAAATTATTTTGATATATTTTGATTATACAAAAAGAAGAAAGTATTTTTTCTATAAAACCTTGCCTGCACAAGTAGCCCTTACAAATGGTTATGATACCTGGACCTTGCTGCTGATTATTTTGTGAATGCAAATATAACCAAAAATCCCATTGGTCTCATGATCACTACATTGCTGGGTTTGACCCCAATTTAAAATTACTCTTGGTGATTTTATTATAAGAACCTGATAACAGTGCACAGTGATTAATGCTGCCGTTTTGCTCTGCAGGAGCACCTGTGTCCTTTGAGAAAGTGCGAGGTATGGCTTAGCTTTCCAACACTTAGATAACACCTTACGAAGCTGAAGTCAGTCAATATTTGCAGTCAGCTCAGAACTTGGAAAACAATCACGGTGTTACCGCCTGACTCGGCCCCGCTCTCCGCGCCCGCCCCGCTGCGCCGCGACCCCGCCCCGCATAACGGGGCACGTCCAGCTGCGCGGCTTCCCTGCTGCTCCTGGGTCCGGCCTGCCAACGATGGCTCTGCCAGGGGCCGCCGCGGCTGAGGAGCTCGTTTTCTATGTGAACGGGAGGAAGGTAAGTATAGCCCGGAGAGAGAGGGGCTGAAGGAACCCCGGAGGGCACAGATTTGGCTTCCTCAGACTTATTCATATGAGTGTAACCGAATCCTCGCACAAACCTCCAGAAGGAGGTTGGGTGATTGCGTCCCATTTTGGCTAGCTCTGCTGTGTTTGGGAGAAAAACTGTGTTAAAGTGAAACACACTTTCAGCTGAGTATCAAACTTGGCTGGTAAGCAAACCCCTTTTTTCATTTGGATGTCTGGCTTCTCATCTCTGATGGTGTCAGGTTTTCAGAGGCACAACTGAAAGCAAGAGTTTAGTGCCTAAATTTGGACTATTGAGCATGATGACAATATTGCAAGGACTGGCTGTTGATCCAAAGCAAGTGTAACGAATTAGCTGATTCGAAGTGACCAAATAAGAAATACTGTACTCAATCAAGAATGTGGGTATTTCTGTTACTCTCTGTCGTCAGTTTCTTACAGAAGGTGAAGGTGAATATAAATGAAATGAGAAAAGAAATTGCTACTTCCGATAGCCTTACAGACTTCCTGTAATGTTTATTCCAGTATGTTAGAATGCCAGGGAGACCTTAAAATCTGCAAATCTTTAGTTAATTATTTATGCTGTCTTTAAAGTTCTGCATTTTTATTTCTAGTGTGGCCGAAGGTCAGCTCCCTAGTATAACATTTCACTGAGCAGCAGTTATTTTTAGTACTTGCATGGTGTAGGTTCTGGAAGTGTATGTATCTGAAAAGGAATTTCCAGAAGGAGCCCAAACTATCCTGTGGTGTTTGCCAATTAGTGTAGTTCTATGAGGAGAAAGGATTCTCTTCTGGCTTTGTGTGAAAATAGTCTGTGCCCTGAATTTTGAAAGGCCTTGGTTTCTTAATAAAACCTTGTTTTTACTTTCTTGCTGTAGATAATAGAGAAAAATGCTGATCCTGAACAAATGCTCTTGGCTTATCTTCGAAAGAGGCGTATCCTTTTCTTGTCTGTTCCCTAAAGTCACTCATGAAAACCTTATTCAAGTAAAATTCTAAGAAATTTTAATTCAATGCTTAATTACCAGATTAAGGAAGTTGTGATTCCTTTAAGAGAAATCAACCACACTAAATGATGTCTCTTTCTTAATCCAAATATTTTTCAGCTGAGCAGTTGTACTTTTAGCCTGGCTTTTTAAACACACAAATTATGCCATCAGGGACAAAGAATATGTGTTTATCTGTGTTCCTCCCCTCCCACCTCATAAAGAAGTCTAAAAACGTAGGGGTGAGCAGCTTGACAGAATAAAAGTCCCCAGGCTTTGTAATAGTCTCTCTCCTGGTAAACAGGAGATTTTGTGATGAGAACCTGAGGCTGATGGAATTTTGAGGGGCAAAAAGGCATCATCCTTTTGGTGGCTTTGGAACATGAAAATAGCTGTTTGTTGATTCACAGTTTTAGACTGGTCACTGTTCCAGATTCACAGAAATGAGCACTTCTCTCAGAAGTGTGATCCTTCAGATGAGATGCAAGGCAAATATCCTGACTATAAATGGGCCTTCTGGGAGAAACTGGGAAATTGGTTTTAGTGTTCCACTGGAATTTCAGATATATAGCTGGTTTGCCCATTACATATTTCTTCTTTTCAAATGTTTGCTTGGATAAGTATTTTTCACTTTCCTTTTCTGTCCCAACTTACTCCTCTTCCAAAACAAATTATAATCAAGTTTTCTGTTTTCTTGAGAAGAGGGTTTTGGTAATGTAATTCCTTAGCTTCCATCTTGCTTTCACTGAAAATTTTATTCCAATATAGAAAGGATTCCAGTACGTATGCTGATACCAAGCAAATTCTGTGTTCCTTGGTGGTTTAGGAAAAAAGGTGGTCTCAGGCCTTTGGGTGAAATAAAGCCCAGAATGGAACCAGATCATTATTTTCCCTAATGACCACATTTTCAGTCTGTCTTACAGGAACTAAGTATGGCTGTGGAGGAGGTGGCTGTGGTGCTTGCACAGTGATGGTATCAACTTATGATCCAGCTTCAAAGAAGATACGGTATCCTCAACAGAATATTTTGAAACATGCAGAAAATTCTGTGGTTTTTTATGCCATTTCCAGATATGAAACCTTAAAAACAGAGTTGTAGAACTTAATAGTAAAAGTATCTAGGGGAAGGGTCACTTTAATCCAAAAGGAGAATGATGTTAAAATTGCTGTTGATTCAGCTGTATTGTAAATTTGCTGAACTATACTATACTCAAATGCTTGATTTATTTATAAATACTCATAGCCCCTGCAAGAGGTTGTAGAAGGTATTAAGACCCTTTGACTTGACCACTGGAGTGTGGCTCCTACCTAAAGCTCTGTGTGGTGGTTTAAGTCCAGCTGGTAACTGAGGACCATGCAGCTGCTCACTCACTCTCCCCAGCAGGATGGGGCAGAGAATCAGAATGGTAAAGGAGAAAATTCATGGGTTGAGAAAAGACAGTTTAATAGATAAAGCAAAAGCTGCTTGTGCAAACAAAGCAAAGTTGGCAATTTATTCTCTACTTCCCATCATCAGGCAGATGTCCAGCCACCACTGGGACACCATCATCTGTGATGGTTACTTGGGGAGACAAACACAATCACTCCAAAGCTTCCACCCTTCTTTTTCTTCCCTTGCCTCTATATGCTGCACATGATGCCATATGACATGGAATATGACTTTGGTCATTTTGGGTCAGCTGTCCCAGCTGTGTCCCCTCCCAGTTTCTTGTGTCCCTCAATCTCCTCATTGGTGGGGTGGGGTGAGAGGCAGAAAAGACCTTGACTCTGTGTAAGCCCTGCTCTGCAGTAACTAAACACCCCTGTGTTATCAGCACCGTTTCCAGCACAAATCCAGAGCACATCTTCACACTGGCTACTGTGAAGAAATTTAACTCTATCCCAGCCAAAACCAGCATACTGTCATACAAGTGGTGAGAAGGTGGGGTAGGCAGAAGTGTCAGTCTTACCAGCCCTTTAAGCTGAGCTCCATCCATTACACCCCACCCACAGAATTAAAGATTTTGAAACTCAAACCCAAAGTTTGAGTTTAAGTCATTAAGCTAAAAACTGGAATAAGTTGCTTTTAAGTTGAGAAAACTCCAATCAAATTGTTAAATGATTACATGTCATTGTACACTGAAGTGTTTATTGGGTGGAGAAAAAACATTTCAGTTGTCCTTTTGTACAGTTACATTATATTGGAATGCAAAACAAATGAAAATTTTTAAAGTTAATGAAAGAGCTAAAATTAAAGCAGACTCCTGAAAAAAAACCCACATTTCAACTGTATTAAAAAGCCAAATATTTTAAATGAAATTATTAAAAGTTTTGAAGAATTTTCATTTTGGTGTGTTGTTCTGTAGGCTCAGTTTGTGGTGATTGGGAGTAGGGCTGTGGCCGAGCCCCATCCCCAATGGGCTGCAGCTGTTTAGGTCAGGTGAGCAGCACTGACAGCAGTGAGCCGTGGAGTGCCAGGTGCACTGACCAAACACCAGAGGGAGCAGAGGGCACACAGGGGCAGTGCATCAGCATGAGGGGATAAAAGGCTGGGCTAAAGAACAAGAGGGGCAGACACTTGCAGCCTTCTGAAGTGACGTGACTCTGTATGGGCAGATGCCTGAAGCCTTCTGAAGTGGTATGGTGTTACTCTGTGTGAGTTGAAGCTTTCTGGAATTGTGTGATGATACTCTGTGTATCGTGGCCTTCCCAACTGCAACATATGCTGTGGCTTATGCTGCAACATTGTTCCTGTTTAGGAACAATGATATTTATTTTACATCAGAATTTACTTTGAATTTTGATTATGAATTTGCAGCAGTAATTCTTTACTTCCTTCTAGTGACTGCACCAATCTTCCTTTCTGTATCTTCCTCCTTCAAAATACAGTTGACAGATTCTTTGCGGGCAGTAGAGACAAGAGGGCAATTAGAAAAGACTGAGGTATTAAGGAAGATGTAAATTCCATGGAATTGTCCTCATAGATATGCTTTTATATGGGGGACAAGAGGCATAGCTAGAAAGTGATCCCTTCTCATTCCAAATGTTAATAGTGGCTGCTTTGTAAGTATGAACTATGTCTTGATTGACTGAAAAATAATACTCATACTTATTTATTAAAATAATATTCATGTTCTTTATTCTCCTTTATGTTCCAAAGACACTATTCAGCCAATGCATGTTTGCTTCCCATTTGCTCTTTGTATGGTGCAGCTGTGACTACTGTGGAAGGTATTGGAAGTACAAAAACCAGGATTCATCCAGTTCAGGTGAGAGTGCAGTATCACTGTATAGGAAGATTACTGATTTCTTTTTTGGATGGAATCGCTTTAGTGGCAGTGCTTTTAGGGCATGGGAATTGTTGTTTTCCCTGCTAAGTGACAACAGAGGGCAACATTGTTTTCTGGTGATTGATTGATCAAGGCTGATGACGGAGCTTACTTTAATATTGACAGTCTGATCAAGTAGTCGGTATGTAATGATTGTTGGAGTGGCTTTGTCTCTTTGGGCTGGGAGAGGCTTTGTCTCTTTGGGCTAATGAAACATCTTGGACGACGTCCCTTTGGCTCCTGCTTTAGTATAAGTGCAAAAAAGACAGAAGTCTCCTGAAAGCTGATTAGCTTCTTTAGTAAGATGTGCATGAACATCACACCCAAAATAATTATTTTTATATTGCTTTAAGAGTTTTACTTCAAAAGTCTGATTTATTGCAAAGGCAACATTTTGTATGGCATCTCCCATTTAAGAGAGCATACATTAGAATGGAGATGAGTGCTGGAAGGAGTGTTGTTTGTGGTATTTCATTTCAGGAAAGACTTGCCAAGTGCCATGGCTCCCAGTGCGGTTTCTGCACACCTGGAATGGTGATGTCCATATACACTTTGTTAAGAAACCACCCAGAACCAACTTCAGAGCAGATGATTGCAGCTCTGGCTGGTAAATATTGCCACTTTTTAGTTTGCAGGTGTGTTCCTGAAGCATTTCTTCAGGTGCTTTGTCTGTGTGAATGCCTGTCTGTGTGAGTATACATGTGTGCATGCATGGATGATGTACTCTTACAAACTGTGCTTTCTAGAAGAGTTGCTGCTGGATGGAGACCTTGTATTCCCTGTCATTCTTTTCTCCTGGAAAATGAAACATGGAGCTGTAGATTGTTTCAGGTGTTCAAATTATCCCCATATGTATCTTTGGAAGTGCTTAAAATCAGATGTACAAGAATTATGTCATATTGGAGAAGCAGCTGCATCTGAGCATCTCCAGGGTCCCTTTATATCTGGTGTTGAGAATGTAATAAGCCTTGCAGGACAGGCCCTTTGCAGTAGGATTTAAACAGATAAGGCAGAGAGCTGCAGACTATCTTCAGTAAGGAAAAGTGTGAGCATTTATTGTAGGTAAAGTAGCCTTCTGTCATCTGTTGTGCTCTAGAGTCACAGTGGAGCCAAAGACATTTCCTGTTGCTGTGTGGTGAGCTTCGAGGTGTAATGTTAGCTTCCTTCACCTCTAGAAAAAAGTCAGGGGGAAAGAGAACAACATTTTGGGTAAAAGATACTGTACGATCTCTTATTCTCTTGCATACTGAGCTGTAGCCAGCATTCACTCTAGTGCAGATCTCAACTATTTTGTACTCCCCTTGAAACAGCAGCATTTTTTGTCAGGAGATGCAGGGTCCTATGTCTTGTGACACTGTTCTATTTTGTCCTTTTTAAGAGCTAACACTTCTCCTTGAGCTTCAAAAACACAAGACTCATATAAAGACACAACATTCTAAAGCCACATTAGAGCAAAGCTTTTTCTGACTGATTTCCTTCCTTCAGGGAACTTGTGCCGCTGTACTGGATACAGGCCAATCCTAGATGCCTGTAAAACCTTCTGTAAGGTAAGAAGTAGTGGCAATAGGAGTGCTAGATTTGGGCTATCAGTGTATATGCATATAGAAGCCATCAAGGCTTTCACTGAGATCATCCCTTCCCTCTGTTTAAAGATGTCATTCTGAGCAAATGGCCTAACCCATTAGAAAAACTGATAAACACAAGTGAACATGGTGTCTAGCCTAGATTATGAAGAGTAATCTGAAGTAACTCCCTGTGGGTTAGTACTGGCATGAATAAAAGCAGAATTTCAGTCCATATTCTTAGAATTTATCATGCAATGCAATATGTCAGAAACCTACTGAGGAGAAATGGGAATGAACATCTGGTAAAGAAAACAATACAGACCATCTGCTCTCACAATGTCAAAAGAATTCTACATAGTAGGAATTATTTTGTATTAAGGATGTCAACATTTGATGACTTAAAATTATTTTTTAATATCACTCCTTTAACACTTAATCCTTCTAATTGGGCTTGTTATTAAACTTCATTTAGAACTTTATTGAAATACAGAGTCACTGTTATCTTATGAGCTTTAACTCATTGCCATTCTGGGCAGTATTTCACTAATGGGATTTTCCTATTTTAGGAATCCATTTGTTGTCAAAGGGAAGCAAATGGAAAGTGTTGCTTGGATCAGGAAGATGATTTGTTTGACAATGAAGAGAAGGTAAATTTTAAATATATTACTGACCCTACTTCAGTATAAAACTTAGAATATTGCATATAGTATTTGATAAATAAGATATTTTATTATTCCTCACAAGAAATTAAGAAATATTTTGAAAAATTCAGGATTCTGTGTGTGTATTTGTATGTGGAGGCTCTGATGTGCCATATAGTTCATATATGGTAGTTTGAGTCTCCAGAGCTGAGATTTGAACAGCTCTTCAGGTTCAGTAATATTAATAGTCTGAGCTCTACCAATACAGTGAGAATTACATTGTGAAAGACATTAGGGCATATGTGAAATTTCCTTAAATCAATGATCAGTGATGCTCTAAGTACTGGTCTCTTAGGAAGACTGCTGACCTGAGTCTGAAGAATTGATGCACTCTTAAAAACTAGAGCTATGATTGTGATTTTATGTGAAACCTCTTATCCATACAAATATTTCACCTTGTTCTTAATTTTCTTTCAGTAATATCTATCTACTTCTTTGTATTTTGAGTACTTTAGGTTGGCATGAAACTAATTTGTTGTAGTAGAACTACAGGAAGCCTGTACTTAGTCCTTCAGTTTCTTGCTTCTGCACTGTCATTTGTGTTAGCAGTAAAATTTAAGAAAATATTATGAACACTTCTTTCACCTCAGCACCTCCAAATGATGCATGGTGATTTAAAAACAAATCCAAATGATAATGAAAGACTAATTTTTGTACTGACTTCAGTGGCAGTCTGTTGGTTTGGCTTTGCTTTTGTTTTTGTTGTATGAAATGAACAATGAGAGAAAATTCTTGGTCTTTGCTTTCTTTTTAAGGTGTCCACCCACCTGTTTTCAACAGATGAATTCCAGCCCTTAGATCCCACCCAGGAGCTTATATTCCCTCCAGAACTAATGGTACCTTTTGCTGCTTATAGACTATTCTCATGCTCTGTTCAGAATTCTTAAGTCCTGCTTAGCAGTAATTCATCAGATGAAATGTCAAAACATTTTAATGTTATTATACTCCTTTTGGTTTTTTGCCCAGTAAGCTTGTTGAATATTCACATACCAAAAAAAGTCATATCAGGAAAATGAATTTGCAGTTAGGGGAGAAGATAAAGAAGCAACCCAAACTGGGTTTGCAGTCTAGCAGCTGAAGATGCAAATACTTGACAGCAAACTGAATGGCAAACAATTTTTAACATTGGAAAACAATTCTGTGGCTTAATAGTTGTGTTAGTCTGTTCTCAGCCACCCACATCAGAGAGTGTTTAGCCCCAGTGATTAAGGCATGCCAAATATAAAACAGCTGGAATGGAAAGTGTTAGGCACTCTTAATTATGGACAGCAGTATTTGCTCTAGAAAACAAAAGCTGTATGTTTTACTTTATTATCAGTGTAGAGATTCAAAGCCAGATTATCTGTAGTTAGCTGACTGCTTCTGGAGAAAGGTTGGTAACTGCAGGACAGGAGTTTGTGACTGTGTGTTTGTACCAGAGCTGGTTCACAAGCTATTTCCAAATGATCGGAGAACAGTGGTAGAACAGCCAGAGACACTGAAGTGCATGTGCACCAGTGCCATTGGTGCTCTTCAAGCAAGCTAAGTGGGCAAATACCTCCCTAAGTATTTTTTATTGCTTTTCTAACAGTTTTAGCAACTGCAGGATCTATACCTACATCTTTTGCTAGGGGAATGTTTATTATCATAAAAATATTCTTGTTTATTAGCCCATTGGAATTACTTGAAGACATTTCACCCACACAGCCTCAACTTTCACCACTTTGCAAACATTAGCCAGCATAACATTTCTGTCCCCTTTTTGTCCAATTTTAAAGGATTATGTAGAACTGCTGTTGTTTAAGAACATTTTTGACTTTCAGTCTAGTGTCTGTTAGATCTCACTTCTGTCTATATGTCTAAATATTTAAATCTGCCATGTTTCTCCATCAGAGAATGGCAGAAAATCAACCAAAAAGAACTCTGGTTTTTCATGGGGAGCGAGTAACATGGATTTCTCCCATAAACTTGGATGAACTGCTGGATCTGAAAGCCACCCACCCTAAAGCACCTCTTGTGGTTGGGAACACCGGTGTGGGTATGTATGTGATCAGAACAGCTCCTGTTGCTTTAGTTCCAGTGTGCATGAGAGGAGTGGGGCTACGTTTGTTGTTCTTTTTGCATCTTCATCCTTAAGCTTTCTTTCCAGTATGTGGGAGTTGTCTTTATGGAAAAGCCTTTTGTCCAAGTCTATTCCTATCTTGTAGGACCTGACATGAAATTCAGAGGTGTGTTCTATCCAGTTCTTATTGCTCCTGCAAGGATCCCAGATCTGAATGTGCTGAAATACACAGATGATGGTCAGTAGACTTCACTTTTTTCCGAAATAGAAGATTTCTTTGCAGTAAGGAATGCTGCACCATTCCAGAGTGCTGAGCAACTCATTCCTAAGCATGCTTGGCTCTTTCCCAGGTCAAGGGGGCTGTTGCCAACAGCACAGTGCAGGATGACTTTGTCTTCATGGGGCAGTGCAGAGCTGACCAGCAATATCTTGGGCCTTAGTGCGAGGATGGTTATTCTGGTAATAGTGGTTCTGGTGATCAGTCATGCAGGATTTGCTTTGTGACTGCTCTACCAGCCTCTGCTGAATAGCAGAGAGAGACCCATACAAAACCACTGGGAGTGTTAGCATGTGGCATGCTTGGTTACATTAGAAAAAAGGATGTGATTAAACTGGCATTGCTGATGTGCATTAACTAATCTTGTTCTCAATCACAACAGCATTAATTATAATAGGTTAACAATTTTGTACCTCAACTTACATGTTTATAATGAGCATGGAGGTTTTTTTATCTAGACTAGGTTTTGGGTTTTAAATAATTTCTGGTGGATTAGAAATACAACTAGAATTAGGTTTCAACTTACTATAATGGTCTAAAGTAATTGAATAAAAGCTACCTTGTACAAGCTTATAGCCAAAGTTTTAAGGAAAGTCATATCTGATGAAATTACTTGCTATATGCCTGAAGCCACTTTTTTTTAAGTGGTAAACTGTGTTTGATAGTTCTGTCATTGCATTTGGAATATCTGTTTTATTTCTGATCAGTCATCCAGTTTTATTCAAAGACTAGTTTGTTCCTAGCTGAAAAGTAGCTAGGAATTGAAAAGAAGCTGGGAGAATGCTTGCTCCTTCTTTAAAATGTGTAAATAAAACCTAGGTATTTGAAGGTGAGGCTTACTAGTTCTAAAACAAGAGATATGCAGTTTAGTTTGCCAGCCAGAAATAGCATTTTCTCTCTTTAATCAGATTTAAATGCAAAACATATTTTGATTAAATTTTTCTTTTAAATACACAAAAATTAATATTGCTTTAATTAAAATTCATTAAATGTATTTATATTTTCATTTATACATTTAATTGAATCCCAGTATTCATTGAAAACATTCATTTATTATGTAAAAAATTATTTTTAATACCAGGGAACTGTGTACCATTTACAAAAAAATTAGCAGTATAATCTTACAAAAAAACTTCTCAAGTAAATACATACAAGTTCTCTTTCTAGTGGGAAAAATGATACTGTCTTCATTGTTAGGACTATTTGGGTTTTTGCTGCCAATGCTATCTACCTACACTTTAGAAAGAATAACTGGAATGTACCTATGCAAGGCAAGATCAAATTAGGATGAAAGTCATGCTTAAAAATAGGAAGAGTCTGTTGAAAGCATTTTGAAGCTGACTCACCTTTGGTGAAATGTCTCCTAAATGTTTACTTAGTCAAAGCAAGGTGCAAGGGAAGCAGTTGGGATTTGCAGCTGGAAGCAGAGAAGGGATTTCCCTTTCAGCAGAAGAGGTGAGGTATTAGTTCTATTTCATCATTTCTAGGGATTTTACCCTTAGTCTCCTGAAATGAAAGGTTCCAGTTCCTTTAAAATGCAAAGGCCTCTCTCCTTTTATCTGCCTTTGCTCACATGAGCTGTCCTAACTCTACAGTCTGAAGACACTTTAAAACCCAAGCAATAAAGCAATGCACACATTGGACTTTCATTATCTTTTGGTTACAGGATTAACTCTGGGAGCTGCCTGCAGCCTCTCTCTAGTGAAAGACTTCTTGACAAATGCAATTGCCGAGTTCCCTGAAGAGAAGACGAGGGTTTTCTGTGCTGTCTTGCAGCACCTGACAACTCTGGGCGGAGAACAGATAAGAAATGTTGCTGTATGTTGGGAATTAGTTGCAATTGCAGTTCGAAAAAATTTGTAACTAATGTGAAATTGGTCCTGACCACATGTAGAACTTGCATTTTTGATTTTGCCATGAATTTTCTATCAATACCTCTTTTTATAGCTTTCAATATGTATAAATGTACATACAGTTTGCATGTCATATGGTCATTTAACATAAAAATATTATGTTTACAAAGAAAGGTAACATAAACTACTTTATTTTTTCAAGTCATTTGGTGGAAACATCATAAGTAGAAAATCAACCTCAGACTTGAATCCTGTTCTGGCAGCCAGCAACTGCATGCTCAATCTCGCTTCAAGAGGTAGGAGGAGATAGCCTGTCCTGTAGCATTTAAATGTTTAAAGGGCTCTTAGAGATTTAAGTTCCTTGCAGAATTTTGTCATCATCCCTTCTGAAAATTTAACTTTCATAATATACATTATAGAATAACAAATATGGTCACTTTCAGAATAAAATATCAAATAGAGAAAGGAAAAAGCAATAGCATTTATTTCTTTCTGGATTGCTAGAAATGTTCAGAATCTCAGAGGAAAAGCAAACAAAGAAAAGAAGACATAAACCCAAAACCTAAACAACAAAAGCCCCACCCTCCTAATATTTTTTTGCTTTTGCAGCAGTTCTTTACCACTCAGTTTACTTCCTCGTTTTGTATGCTTTAGAATGAAAGGTAGTTATGACAGCAGCTGCAGAGATCTGGAATAGATTGACAGGAGTGAGGGTGGGATCATCATGGCAGTATTGGAAGGGAGGATTACAGAATGGGAATTGACCTCTGGATACTTTTTTAGGCATCTGGCATTATGATGTTATGGAAGATGGAACAACCATTTAAATTTATAGAACATATCACTGATAGTTTTTTTATATAAGCTCTGTAGCAGTTATTTATTCAGGAAGGCAGCAGGTATTTCTTGCCTATTAAAATATTATTGATATTGTGTTAATTGCATGATTGTATGGAATTTTCTGGATTTGAATTATTTTGGGGTTTTTTTTAGGACAAAGGCGACAGATTCCTATGAGTGATATTTTTGCAGATGGAGTTGGTAACAATACCATTACACCAGAAGAGATCTTAATCTCTATCCTTATACCCTATTCTAGGAAGGTAAGTTATTCCTTTGTTTAGATTTGCTTTATGCAGAGTTAAAGACTATGAAATAAAGAGCAAGAAGAGGCATAATGCATTTGTTTAAACTAGCACTGCTACTGCTTACTTTCTGAATTCCTTACATTTATTCATTTCAGTGCCATACTATCTCCCAGTTTTAGCCAAAAAACACAACTCAGCAGGTAGCTGGCGATGCTACATAAAGAGTAATACTCAGAAAAAAGTTTGCCCTAAAATGATGAGGGCAATAGCAATTGTCTAGATCTCCTATGGAAAGGGGTCTTGGACAAGTTGCCATTGTGCTCACCAAAGCAGGCTGCTCACCTGTGATATGGCTGTCATCAAATAGGTAAAGCATTGTCATCGCCTGAGGATTTTTCTTTAAAATGGGATAAGATTGGATGTGTGTGTGGTGGTTCCATAAATGTTGCTGAACTGAATAATAGTCTTTAACTGATACTGGGTTTGCAAGAGTGGATATGGGATCTTAGAAGAGAATTTTGGGTTATGTTATCTGAATACTGAAGTTTGGCAATACCTTGAAGCCTCTAAACTTATGGTCTTGTTATAAATACAGCTCCACAAAATCCCTGTCTTCCAGTTATCTACCACGAAAAATCTAGGTCTTGTGAACTGTGTAGGTGATGGGGGATTGGGTATGAGCTGCTAGAAAATCAAAGATGGTAAAGCTACTGACAGGTCAAGGGAAGAAAGTGCATGGTCTTGAATACTCAGGAAGTTGAATTTGTGCTCTTCATTTTCTGTTCTCTTGCTTCCCATAGTGTAATAACAAGTTCTGCTTTTAGATATTTACATGTCTGCACTTCTGTGTGATCTTTCTCAGGGGGAGTATGTCTCTGCATTTCGACAAGCACCAAGGCGGGAAAATGCTCTTCCGATAACCAATGCTGGGATGAGGGTCCTTTTTGAAGAAGGTACAGACATTATAAAGGATCTCAGCATTTTCTATGGAGGTGCTGTCTCAACAACAGTCTGTGCAAAACGAACCTGTTGGACACTTATTGGAAGGTAAAATATCTTTGTCTTGTGTGTCTCTGAACAAATAGTCTTTGAAAGCTTGGGTTCATGTTCCTTGGGACATGAAAGTACAGAAGGATTTCATTTGCCTGACTCATGCCTTGTATGTTCAAGTGAATGATCAAGCCTCAGTGATGACTTTTCAGGATTGTTACCTTTTGGAGTTTGCACATGAAGTGCAACTCCAGTGTGAATTATGCAGAGAGATAAGATAAGCTGTGAGATAAGTGGATGAGGTATACATCAGTCAGTTGTGCACCTAAAGCCAAGGATGGGTAAATTACTCTCTATCCCATACCTTTGATAATCCTCTCATCAGTGTTCTTGAGTCCCTCAGCTTGTCTCTAAAAGATACCAAGTTTGAGAACTTTACATGTGCCCAATAAAGTTAGAAGCACAAGTCTTCACCTATTCAATATCTCTTCATCTACAAGGTCCCAGTAATTTCTGGAATTAGTCCCTGACTTTCCTTCTCAGTTTACAGCACCTTTCCAAGTTTTGGAGGAAAAAAATTGCAAATTCAAGCAGCAGAAAAACAACACTAAATGAAGCCCCAGTGGCCTTTTTTGCTATTTAATATGCAACTGTTTCATTAGTTGAAGTGCTTACTATTTTTTGATGCGTAACATGATTAAATTTAATCTAACAGACTTAATATTTTGATATCTGCGGTCGTGTAACTATGAAGAAGTAACAGTGTTGAAATACTTGAAGTACTTGAAGTAACAGTGTTGAAATACTTGAAATACTTGAAGAAGACAGCGCTTTCTGTAAATGTAACAGCTAATTAAGTCCCTTGAAAGTATCTACATTTTGCATCTATGTCCTTATCTACTCTTCTTCAAACATAGGATAGTGTCTGCAATATGGTGAGAATCAGTAAGAGTGCTAAAGCAGCTTTAAAGCTGTAATAGGGTTTGTTTAGTTATGTATTTGTTTATTTAAAAATGCTGGCATAGCACTTAGTTTCCTTATGGGAGCTTAGCTCTGTGAGCAACATTGATCTACACCGTTTTAAAAATTGCAGACATTATTAGAATCAATATTTTGACTTCATTGTGAGCAGGATTATATCTCTGGTCGATGGTACACATATATTACTGCAATCGGTATTTATTTTTTATTAGTCCTGGTCTGATTGTTTCTATTATTCTTCCTTACAGACACTGGAATGAACAAATGTTGGATGAAGCATGCAAACTAGTTCTTAAAGAAATTGCTCTTCCAGACTCAGCTGGTGATGAAAATATAGACTATAAGAAAACTTTGATGGTCAGTTTCTTCTACAGATTTTTCCTGGAAGTATCGCAGTCATTGAAGACAATGGTAAATTAGTTCATAAAATCATGGAATATACCAAGTTACAGGAGACCCATCAGGAGCATGGAGTCCCACTCCTGGCCCTGCACAGGACACGACAGGAGTCCTACCATGTGCCTGATAGCATTGTCTAAATGCTTCTTGAAATCAGGCTAGGGGCTGTGACCTCTGCTCTGGGGAGCCTGTTCCAGTACTCAAACACTCTGGGTGAAAAATCTCTTCCTGATGTGCAACTTAAAGCTCTCTCCTCCTGGCTTAATGCTATTTCCTCCAGTCCTATCAGTGGTCAGCAGAGTGAAGAGGTCGATGCCTGCCCCTCCACTTTCCCTGGTGAGGATGTTGCAGACCTCAGTACGGTCTCCCTTGAGTCTCCTCCAAGCTGAGCAAACCAAGTTCCCCATGTCTGCTCTTGTGCAAGCAAATAAAGGGAGTGTTCTGCTATATGTTAGTGCTTGCAGTTTGTACAGTGTGCTAAATCATTGTCTTAGGTTATTGTGTAGCTCCAAGCACCAAAGTGTTTGACTCCTAAAGAGACTGATGGAGAGATGCCCATTTAACTTTTAGATGCTCAGATATCTTTACCTTGGACATAAGGCCTTAAAAGACATTTGAGCAATATTAATACAACAACATACCCGGTAGCAAGCTCCCAGACCCAAAGACAATATACAAGAGATCTTACCCTGTCTATCATTCAAAACATAAATAGGTGAAATAGAAATAAAGGCTTTGGAAAAAAATTGTAGATATTAAAACAACCCTCCTTCTTGAATGAACTGTTGACTGGGAGATGATGATGCTAAAGCTTCACTTGCCAAGACATTCTAGGTGTAATTTACTTTTTTATTTTTGTCTTAAATATGTTCTTACAGAGAAGAATATCCCTTTTACATTTTTTTCTGTGTTACCTTGAGCTTTTTCCTCTGAATTGCCATTACTAGGTAATTGTTTAGTACCAGGAGTGATTCTGAGCCACTTTTGATCAGACCTCAAATCAAAATTCTTTTGTCTGTCCCTTTGTTACTTACTTTAAAAAGCATATTTGTTGAATCAATATATTTTTAAATATTATTTAGTGCCACCTAACACCTCTACATTGTTTTCAGATTGTTGTTTTAGGGCCTTTCTAGTTTGAGCCTGGAAAGCGTTTCCTGTATAAAGATTTTGTGCTTGATTTTGGTTGTTGGCTTTTCTAATTGTAATGTTCAAAATGAGAATTTTAGCAGTAATTAATTTCCTTTTCAGGATCCTTGCCATTATCCTGGCATACCTGTGGAATATGCGAGTGTCTTACAAGATTTCAAAACCAGAATGCCCCAGAGTATCCAAATATATCAGGCAAGTGATTTCATTCTGACATTGTTTTGTGCTTTAGAAGACTAGGTAAAAAGTCACAGTTCAAACATGAGTTTTGGTGTGAAGGTAAGGTTCAGATTTTCCAAAGGACTGGAAGCAAAAGGCTTTTAGTGGTAGATTTTAACCGTATCTCATTTGGAGAATCCTTGTTTGTAAAAATAGATTCTGGGCTGTACTCACTTCTTCTAGACAGTTCTTTGAAGATAAATATGCTAAGCAAACTCCATTGTCAGACTGCTTAAAATTGGTTTATTGCAGTGTGCAAGCCAGTTAGAAAGAAATGAAAAACAAAAAAAAAAAAAAAATTGAATAGCCCAGGTATAGTACATATACACTGTAGCATAGCCATAGTATTGTTGTCTCAAGATCCTCAGGGCTCTTAGGCCTTACTGTAGATGTAGGAATCAAGATGGTGTGTGATGTTTGTGTGCTCAAATTAACACAAGCAGGTTGTCCTAAATCAACAGTAGAGAGCAGCAAAGTACATGCTTGGTATTTTCTGAGCTCACCATATGAATAGTTCATTGTGGAAACACCAGCAAGGATTTTTGATATTTTGACACCCTCAATACATGAGTCAAAATACCAACTTTTGAAAACCTAAAGAAAAACTCAAATGAAATATAGGTAAATACTTGTTTTTCTTTTAATTTTTGGATATTCCCTAGAAAAACACTAGCTTTAAATACTTCAAATTTGATCAAATTGTTATCTTAAGTTTCCTTCAGAGTTGTTATTAAAAAAAAAGGCAAGAGGCAGTAAGAGGAGCCAGGATCAAGGGGACTGTTTCTCTGTGACTTTTCCCCAGTTTATTCCCCGTCTGTAATAAAGTGACTGAACATCAGAAATTGAAACTATTTGTTACTCAGATCAATTGGCACTGAGCAATGGAAATTTAGAAACCCAGAAAATCTGAGTTTTTCCACTTTAAATTTCTATTTAGATTTTGTAAGGCCATATTTTTTGTCTGCACTCCTTCATTTGGATATTATTAAGCTTTTAAAATGAATATGAAAAAAAGAGAATGCTTATCATGAAATCCAAATATGTTGTCATTCTGTGGTGGAAATGTTGAAGTGGTTTGGCTGAGCCATTGATTTGAGGAACTTCAGGCAGTCAAGTGGAGAGTGTTTGTTCTTGACTTTGTGCCAGTAGCAGACAGTGTGCCAGAAAGTGCAGGAAGCAGAAGTGTGTAGCCTGAGCACTTGTGTGCTGGAAGCTTTAGAAGTAAAAACGTTTTAAGTTGGAAGCAATTAACTAATTCTAAATGTAGAAAAGGAAAAAGTTAGCATGAATACTGACACAAAAATTGGAAAGGTGTTCTGGAAGTTGGCAACATTAGTTGATGTGTCAGACTTAACTGGAAACACTGAATTAATTTAAAAAAAAAACTTAGCACAATAATATTAATAAGACACTAAATTCATACACAGGTGTAAGGAAATAATTGGGAAGAAAATATTTAGGCCATATTTTCTCACTGATTTACATGATCAGTTGCACTCTTTCAGTGAGGAAGACTAATCTTAGAAATCATTGCATATAGCTCATAGTGCACCACCTGACACTGGTAACATTCAGAGCAGAATCTTGTGACAATAATTCAGAAAATTATCAAAGCTTCATTACACTATTCAGTAAGGGAGGAAAATGTCCTTCTGAAAAAGTGCTGGGTTTGCACTTTGATGTAAATAACTAAGGAAAAAAATCCAGGTAAACAAGCCTGTGTGTCACTCTTTGAAGGGGTCCATAAGAGAAGAAAAGAGGAGAAAGAAATCCCCAGGAGTAGCAGCCACATCTCTTTCAATATTGAACCAGATGATGATAGCATGAGCATTGTTCATTCATCTAATCTTCTGATTACTTTAAGAGTAACAGGACTGTTTGTTTTTTTTAACTGGGGATGCTGGGTGTGTGTTTCTGACTGTACAGGACGTAGAGCCGAGCCAGTCTCCCCAGGACCCTGTAGGACGGCCCATTATGCACCAGTCTGGAATAAAGCACGCCACTGGTGAAGCAGTCTACATTGATGACCTTCCTTCTGTGGATGGGGAGCTTTTCCTGGCTCCTGTCACTAGTTCCAGAGCTCATGCTAAGATTGTGTAAGTGTTCAAAGTGGACCTCATGAAGTCTTATGAATTGCTGCCTGAGATTTTTAGAGACTAACGAGTTATGCCTGTACAGAGCAGCATGCCTGATACCTGCAGGCAAATCCACACTGGAAGCAGTATTGTTGCACTAGTAGAAAGGTTTGTTAGGATTGACGTGTCTCACCCCATTTTACTGTACTAGTAGGGGTGAACTGTTTCTGTTTCATAAACCAGTCCAGAGGTAGCCTAGCTACCTCCACAAAGTGCTCAGCTGTGCGGTGCAAGCGGACTTCAAGATTCAGTTTTACCAGCACTACTTTTAAACCTTAACTCTATGATGAAAGAAGAAAGTTGTTTGAAATGTAGGAAATAGTGTGGCAACATTGCAGCAACAAGGTGGCAAAGGTCATATGAGGCTTATAGGAGAAAAGGGTGGAGAAGAGTATTTTATTTTGTAAGAAAACTGTTTCAACATATGCTTTTATGCTGCCAAGATACACCTATTCTAGCAGTTTGTTCAACATTCAGGCACCAACGCATCTTCAACTGATCTAGTCAGAATTGTCATGACGGATCAGACTGGGGCTTCTAGTTACTGAGTCCTTGTCATATTTCCTGGCTTATTCTTAGGTCAGTGCTGGGTTTGGCAGCCCTTTTTTTGGCCTCATCACAGTGGTGACATCACCCCCATCTCTGCAAGTCAGTAGGATCTATTCAGTCTCCTTTGTCTCCTGATCTGGGTGTCCAGAGAACATGCCTGTACGTGTGCTGGGATCTGATGACATGCTGAAGTAGATGCTATCAGAACATGCTGTTCCTACAGACCTCCTGCTGTTTCTTCTGATCCTTCTACACCTAGATATTTCCAATGCTTCTCCATTTATACTGGTTTTGTAACTTCTGTATCTCTCTACGTGAATCCTCTATCTGAAGATGAGTAATTGTATCTTGCAATACGTGTGTAGGCTGTGAGGTCTTAGAAAGTTGTAGTTGTAACATTGTAATTGTGCAATGATTTTTCTTAAACCAATGCAGTTCAGGCAATCTAATGGGCCAATGATTTCCCTGTTGTATCTAAATTATCTTTTATAAATGAAGCAGATTAGTAGAATCTTAAATTGTGCACTTCTCCACATGCCAGAGACAAAGAAAATGTGTGTGTGAGCCTATGAGCAAATCTTGGTAGTACAAGAGATATACCTCTGTATTGTGTTCCCTTCCTCTGTGGACAGTTTGTATAATTAATGAATTACCCTTCTCTCTTTCCATATCCTAATCAGATCTATAGATACTTCAGAGGCCCTAAAAGGAGCAGGTGTGTTTGATGTCATAACAGCTCATGATGTGCCAGCTGCAAATGAGTTTCATTTTTCTGATGATCCAGAGACTATATTTGCAAGAAACGAGGTATAAATACAACCTTTTTGCAACTGATTTTCTTAATTTTAACTGTTTTTATTCTCCAGCCTTTTATCCTTCCACTATCCATTTCTGAACACTGTATTTTCCTTGATTCTGTAGTTACAGTGGTATTTTTATAATTTGTTAGCTTCATGGATGATGTGAAAATACAAAAGTCCTAACTTAAAGAAAACTTCTGAACAGGAGACATAAGTGGTGGTTATGTAAAATAAGACGATCAATAGCACATGTGGAAATTGTTTGAATCCACTGTTCCATTACTGATGTGTATTCTACAGGTGATTTGTGTGGGTCAGATTGTGTGTGCTGTGGTCGCAGATTCAGATGTTCATGCCAAACAAGCAGCTGCAAAAGTGAAGATAGAATATGAAATGCTGGAACCAGTAATTTTAACAATTGAGGTACTAATAATTTCTTCTGCTTTTTTATTGTTTTACCTATTTAATGAATGGAAACAATTCACACTCTAGGTGCTTTTAAAATATTACTTTTAAGGAAACAAGATGAATTTGAACATCCAATTAAGCAATACGAATATCTCCCTATAAATAAATTTTAACCTTTTTGTCTAATTTTGACCACTTGTGGTAGACAGGCAACAGTTTTGAAAACATGAAGGTTTCACAAGTTTTACAGTAATAAACAAAAAAAAAAAAAAAAAAGAACTTTCCTAGTGTTCCCAGTGAGGAAAAGGCAATGAGCATGCTGGTTTCTAATTTTCTGGTAGCTACCAGCTGGTTAGTCAGCTTGTGTATAGTGGCTAACAGTCAGTTCCTGATTATCTCTAGCATTTTTATCTGTTGTGTAGCTTGATGGCTAGGCTGGAGATGTAGGAGTTGTTGGGGAAAAATGAAAGAAAGGTGTTAGGGATGAACAGCATTTTAGAAGTGTAATGTGAGAGTCATATATGGATTTACCCTGGATTAAAGAGAGTAGAAGTAAGGAACAAAGGACACTTGTAGGGAATCAGTATTAGTTCTGGTAGTCACTTTACAGCTTGTTTTGATGTGTGTGGTTTATTGGAACAATCCAATAAAATCTTATTAGAAATAAAGCAAATGCTAATTTATAAATAGATTCCACCTTTATTTAGTCCTTGTGGCTTCTTCCCCTCTTACTGGAATCACTCTTTGGATTATGCAGTTGCATTCTTACTCTGTGGTGTCTTGGTAACATCCTGGACATATGACTGGCAAGAGCAGATTGAGTAAACTGAATGCATTTCCTTCAGAAACTGCTGTCATCAGTTACACTGTATACATCAGCAAATAATTGCTGGTATTGAATAAACAAACTCTACAATGACAGTAAAGTGATGAAATACAGCTGTTCATTGATTTAGGTAGCTGGTGGTTCCAGTCTCTGAAGACAATGGTGTTGGTCCTGAGACTAAAACGCTGCAACAAGCTGGGAATCTTAAAAATACTTAAAACCCCCTATTTCTCTTTTTCTCCATTACAGGAAGCTATAAAACACAACTCATTCTTTGAGCCAAAAAGAAAATTAGAACAAGGAAATGTTGATGAGGCATTTGAAACTATTGATAATATAATTGAAGGTAAACTGTAGAATACATTTGATAAGAAATTTTTGGCTGCCAATATTTGGGTTTGGCTGTCTGCTCTACAAGTCCCAGTTCTGCCTTTTTTTCTATATAGTCATTAGGCCTGAGAAAATTCTTAGGCACTTGGAAGACAGCATGACTAAATCTAGTGTATTGTTGTTCTGCTGCTACATTCTAGTTTTTTGCGTCATCTATACTTGAAAAAAGTTACAGAACAATTAGGTTGGGAGGGAGTCTTAGTCCTCCTACTTAAAGTAGGTCTGCTTAGAGCAGGTTGTTACAGGCTATGTCCAGTCATGTTTTTAGTATCTCCAAATATGGAGATTATGCAACATCTATAGGCACCTGTTCCAGTGTTTCACCGCTTTCATGCTGATTTTGATTTTTCTTATATCTAGCTGGAATTTCTTGTGTTCATTGCCTCTTATATTTCCATTGGGCATCTCTTGAGAACAGTCTGGCTTGCTGTTGTCTACACCCTTCCATTAGATAGTTGTAGACAGCAATAAGATCTCCTCTTAAACCTTTTCTTCTTATGAATGAATAAATCCAGTTTTCTCAACCTCTTCTCATACATCCTGTGGTTCAGCCCCCTGATGATCTTGGTGGCCCTCTTCTTGAGCTGGTCCAGTATGTGCATGCTTTGTTTAATTTATCTAGGTTTTATTGATTGTTGTCACCACTTGTGGGCAATCATGTTTTGCTTTAATACACTTCTGGTGATGCTACTGGAACAAGACCAATTTAAGGATTTTAATTTGTGTTTTTGTTTTATATGTTGCTCTTTCACACAAGAAGTATCAGAGGATTTGACATTTGATGGTGGTCTGTTAGTTCTTCTCTGGTTGATTTCTTCTGTCCTTTTCCCTCAGTAATACTTGTGTTTTTCTCATTGGATCAGGGGAGATTTGCATTGAGGGACAGAAACATTTTTACATGGAGACTCAGAGTATGCTTGCTGTTCCAAAAGGAGAGGATAAAGAAATGGATTTGTATGTGTCAACACAGCATCCAGCAATTATTCAGGTAATGCAGGGCATTCTCAGAGAAAGTGTTTGGACTTGTGACAGTGGAGCTTTTAAAGTTTGGTTTACAAATCTGTAGGAACAGAAGCCATAGAAACATGAAATTTCCCATCTGGATGTCCAGTAACATCTGCTTTGTAGTACTGCTGTATTCTGATAAACACTGAGCACTACACTGTCAGGATAAGTCTCTCCTTTCCCTTGGAACAAAGTACTTCATACTCTGCTATTGCTGGCATGAAAAGCTCCCTGTGGAGTGCTGAGGCTCCTCCATCTCTGTTAGTTTTCCACTGGAGTGAGGAGCAATTAGTTCTCTACAGAGTCAGAATCTACTGAGGATCTGATCAAGTCTAACAGCTGTAGGTGAGACTGCTACTCCATGCAGCAGTCTCCTAATTGGTTTGGATTTCAAGGAACCTTTAAAGACTGTTTAATTCAACACTCCTGCCGTGGACAGGGTTGTCTTTCCCTGCATCAAATTTCTCAAAGTCCCATCCAACATGCCCTTGAACACTCCCAGTGATGGGGTGTCCACAAGTTCTCTGAGCAAACTGTTCCTATGCCTTATGACCCTCATTGTAAAAAATTTCTTTCTCTTGTCCAGTGTAAAGCTACCTTCTTTTAATTTAAAACCATAGCCCTTTGCCCTGTCAATACAAGCTTTGCTAAAAAGTCCTCCTCTGTTTCTTGTGAAACCCCCTTGATAGTTTGAAAGGCCACAGTAAAGTCTCCCTGGAGCTGTCTTCTCCTGGCTGAACAACTCCAAGTCTCTCAGTCTTCATAGCAGAGGTGTTCTAGGCCTCTAAACACTGTCATGATGGTAAATGACAAAACAAAGCTGCCATAGCTTGTGGCCTGCATAGCAATAGCCACAGTGCATGAAACTGATGGTATTTCAGACTCAGCACTGGCATTTTGTGTTCAAAGCCCAGTTCAGCTCCTTTTATAATTTCCATTATTATTATATTGCCAATAGCCAAGCAGTATGAAGAACTTTGTGTTTGAGAAAATTATTTCAACCAAAAACATTCCTGACACTAGCAAGACCTTAGATTATTAAGAAACAAATAGTTTTATTTTAAAGAAGAATGAGGTATTACCATAGTAATAAAAATAATATAAACTGTAAACTAATCCATTTTTACTAGTGTATAACTGTAACTAATCCAATGTAAAATTGTAACTGTAAACTAATCCATTTTTATACCTGAAGCTTCCTACTGTTTAGATAATGTAATTCAAGGGTATTATTCTTCACATTGGCCAGTGGCCTTTTCACAGTCTGCATGGTAAAGATTTGAAATGTGAGCACTGTTGAGAGTTTGTTGTTGTTCTTTCTTTGCTTTTTAGCCTAGGGTAATGGAAAAGTTGTATTCATCTGATAAAAGAATAGAAATATCTGTGGAACCCTTTTCTAGAAAAGGTTTCTGTTTCAGAATCTAGTTTTTGGGCTTAGTTTGCGTTGGCATAAAATATTAAAACTTGTTTTACAGGAGATAGTAGCTGCAAGTTTAGGTGTTCCAGCCAACAGGATCATGTGCCATGTTAAACGAGTTGGTGGCGCTTTCGGTGGGAAAATCCTGAGAACTGCCTTACTGGCATCAGTTGCTGCAGTAGCAGCAAACAAGTAAGTGCAGCATGTGTGTGTTGGGATATGAAAAAAAAATTAAGCAGACAAGTTTTTCATTTTGGCTAAAATGCTTTCTCCTTTTCCAAAGCTGCTAGTCAAAATGTCATACAATCCTGACTTCACATTTTGCAAGACTGATACATTTTTTCGTTTTGTTTTCTTGGATTACTTATGTTAAGCAGCTCTAGCCTCAACTGAATTAATAGGCTGCAGAAAGTTGATATTAGTATAAGCTAGAATTGCTCAAAAGGACCAGTCCCTAACTTCTGAGACTTTGTACATACATTAAAACACAACACTAACTCTCCCGTTGTGAACTTCATTGACACAGCAGAATGCAGAAGGAAGAGTGGAACTGCTTTTAAGAAAAAGTAGTTCTAGCTCAGTCCTCAACATCTTTCAGTCAAAATTAGCTTAAATCTCTGAGGTATTATGCTTTTTCTAATACTGATTGGATCAGTTTATGAACATTAACATGTAAAGCTCCATCCCCCCATCTTCCAAATTTGGCAGGGCAATATTGGCAATTAGCTGTCAGGGCATACAAAACTCCTTTATAAGCATAACTGATCTGCTGCAGAATTCACATCAGCCTACATCCTGTCAGGTTTATGTTACTTCTACTGTCACTGGTATAAAATTTTCTCTTGAGTATTTTTGACCACATTAATGTGCTTTTTATTAACAGGTCATGCTAAAAATATTTATTTTATGGTTTAAAATATCTTTTTTATTCTTAGGACCCTATTTTACACATGATGTCCATTTTTCTAAAGTAATTCTTTTAAATAGTATATATATTTCTAGACTAATTTTCATATATTTATTGTTATTCATATTTTGGTTTCATTCCAAGACACTATTTCAGTATGATTCTAAATAGCTAAGAGGTGCTGAACACTTAACACTGACATAGTTTCTTCAGGAGTAGTTTTGCACTGAGTTATCTTGTTGGCATTCAAGAGATGAAAATTCTGACATGATTGTAAATGTGAGAAATACGAAATCTGGACATAGTGTTAAGCATATGTTCAGGCTTATTAAAGTTAAGTTTAATCTAAATGCATGTTTATATGCATGGCTGGATCTGGATACATGATGAGTAGCCATAGCGATCTTATTAATAACATCCTTTATTTTAATTGCAATTTGACTTCTCTTTTTTGGATTTAGAACCAGCAGAGCAGTCCGTTTCATTCTGAGCCGAGAGGATGATATGGTAATCACTGGTGGCCGACATCCTTTTATGGCTAAATATAAAGTGAGTGCCACAAAATTCTGGTGAACAAATACCCACCTGTACTCTGTGAATAATATTTCAGTGTTACTGGGTTATGTGTTCTGTTTATGAAAATGGTATAACCAATTCAATTTTAAAACAAAACTGCAAGCCAGGAGCCAAAGAGATAGTTGATGTAGAGCCCCTTTGTCTGCTTCTACTTCTTCTCTTCAGGGTTTTGTATTATTATTTTTTCTAGTTCCTTCATGTTCTTTATACTTTTATAGCTCTTTCTGTCTTTCTTTCTAGGAACAGGAAGCTAACCTATTGCAGACATCTTCTGCAGAACTTTATTTTAAACTCTCCATATGGTTAGATTCACACAAAGAAGCAGCTAATTTTTCACGGAAAGTGTGTCATGCAGAAAACTCACCCTGTGGAGGAAATTAATCTCTTCCCTGCCCATGCACTGTCATCAGTTATAATTATGCATTAAGACAATTTCTGCCTTCTTTTCCTTCTCTACTTGTCATTTAAATTATGTGTGCCAGCCACCATAATGGGATTTAAATTCAAGTTTCTGCTGAATCAATGAGCTGAATGACTTCTCTTTAAAAATACCTTTTGTTAATAGCTCTCTAGCTCAAGCTGGATGCCTTCAAAGGGGGACTCTGAACAATGGGATTATACCTGGGCAATTATACCCTTACAGTCTAAGCTCCCCACCCCTCACATGACAGTAGAAACCTGTAGTAGTATTAAGGGTCTGGAGTCTTCACATTCTTCAGGGGTTTCTTTCACGGTCTGTAGCTGGGCCAGTTCTTATATCTAAGTGTGTAGCCTTTGCTAGAGATTGTAGCTTCCTTATCTTTTAGCTTGAACTGACTCTGAGCCTTCTGTTACTTGACTGGGTAACAGTTCAACATACATAGGGGAGAGTCCACAGCTTGCAGCCTAAGGCTGCTGCAAATTTAGCTGCTAATACTAAGCAAGTTGCATGATATTCTATATAGGTGAAGTAAGAGAGGTTTTATAAGATGCTTCCCTGAAATTGAAAATTGGCTGTAGCTCATGTTGAGACTTCAGGAACTGTTAGTGGCAACAGGTGAAAAGAGATGTGAGATAAAGATAACACTTCTTCATTAATAAACATAAATGTCATATTCCATCTGCCAGACACTGTTCTTAAAGTGGGATTTGATTTTATCTACAGTAAACACTCCTAGGTGACACTTCTGTCAGCCATCTCAGGCAATAGAGAGGAAGCCACTGATTTTTCCTTTTCCAATAGGCTTATGTTGTGTATTCTGTGCTGTACCTCTACAGATCACAGATGCCAGCAGGGAAAGCCTATATCTTAGAAACATACTTTCTTTCTCTCTTGCTATAGTTTCAGTGAATGCTGCCCAGAAATTAATAGTGCAGTGTGACCCAAACGTGTGGGTTATGTTAATTTTCAGAATATACAAATACTTGAATTCTAATATTCTAAAATAAAATTATAAAATTCTGATGAACGCTGAATTCTAAATAACTTACTGTTGATCCTTCTAGGTTGGCTTCATGAATGATGGTAGGATCACAGCTGTGGATGCCAAATATTACGTTAATGCAGGATGTACCCCTGATGAATCTGTCCTGGTAAGGATTTTATACTGATGGACCTTACAACATGGAAGAGTCATTAGCTGGAAAATTATGAAGCCAAATTCCCTTGAGCATGTATTATTAATTATATAGACTTGGGATTGTGGGTTGATATTGGGATTGTGGGTTGTTGGAAGAATCTACACTGAGCAGATTAACCTTTCCTTATTAAATTTAGTGAGGCATCTCACTACTTTCTTATATTGCCCTATTCACTTCATGAATGTTTTCTCAGGCTTATTTTTCTGTTATTAACATCTCAACTAACATTGTATTCCTTTTAAAATGTGTAGTACCTGCATTTGTTCCTGCCTAAAGCTTTATGTCTTCAGGGCTGGGAAGATCTTTCTTGGCCTTCAGAAAATTCATAGTGATAGTTATCCTGTTGCTATCCCTATATGTTTCTGTACTGGGTCAGCATTTATTGTGCTGTATTCCTCAGTTCCACACTTATTGGTCTGCAAAGTATGAGATGTTTCTTGCTTTGATATTATCACTAGGTATTTGTGTTTGTTCAGGCTATTCTAGCTGTAACTGAAATGTTTGCTGTACTACCCCTCATCTGCTTGTCATTGCCCCGCCTATGAGGACTTTCTGCATCCTGAAATCTGTCAGTGTAACTGCCTGTGGTATTGCTGCCTAACCTGGTTCTGAAAAATAGCCTTGGTTAGAAGAAAATCCATTATTAGAAGCATGTACATTAATGCAGATAGTGTCAGAACTGTCTTAAGGTGAAGTCTACAGTGATACAGTGAAGCTACTGGACCTAGCAGGTATAACCAAGGCTTGAATTTGTCATTCTGAGAAATCTACCTAACACTGAAGAGAGACAGTGACCTTTTCATCAGGCATCAAACCTTTTTTTTTTTTTTTAATATTGACTCCTGTGACTCCTAGAGCCTAATTTGAGGTCTGTAATATAGCATTTTCCTCCTCATGTGGTTTTGTAAAACCTCTAAATGAAAAACTTGAGGACCAGAGGACGGTGTAGACTGCAGTACATATGCTTTCTGGTGGAACTAAGCCTTAAGTGTGGATTTCTATAGGATGTGATAGTTCAGAATGCTTTCATCAGTTCCTTTCATAGCTACTCTTGCTGTAAATCTAATCTATTTTTAGTTTGTGTGGCTTTTGGTATTGAAGTAGGAGAAAAATCAATCATAACATTACATACCTGCTACATCCATAACTGTTGATAACATCCAAGTACAAGTAACATCAGCTGTGTTCTGTATCCAAAAAAAAACCCCGAAAATTAATATATTGCATGAAAAATGTATTAATGAAGTCTGTATGCATGCATGAGTACTCTTAATGCCAATGATTGCCAGAAACTTAATTTTAAAGCTAATTGCCTCAAGTTAAGCTCTTTTATATAAGAGATGAGGAAGATTTAAATGTTAATTTGAAAGAAGCACTGTTCTGACATTAAACTAGATCTGTTTGTCCTCTACCTCAGGTAGCAGAAGTATCCTTATTAAAAATGGACAATGCATACAAGATTCCCAACTTGAGATGCTGGGCTTATGTCTGCAAAACAAACTTGCCATCAAATATAGCATTCCGAGGCTTTGGCTTTCCTCAGTCAGGACTGGTGACAGAAACTTGGATAACAGACGTTGCAGATAAAACTGGTTTATCACCAGAAAAGGTGACTAAATGAAGGCATCTTCTCTCCTGAAATGAAGCCTGTGCAACTGGAAAGTTAAAAACCTTTAGAATAGTTTAATTGTTTGAACAAGTCTTTTCTAAGTCTAACATAATTTGTGCTGAAATTCATATTTCTTTTAATCTATGTCTGGTTGTTGAATGAATAGCATGGTCTTACAAACTGGTAATTGTTAAAAAAAAATACAGTGATGTTGTTGTCTATTAGTCCCCCCAGAGGGTCAGTTTGCCTTTAACGGGATTGTGAGGTAGCTGAAATTTCATTTTTTTCAGATTAGGGAAATAAATATGTATAAGAAGAGCGAGCAGACACACTTCAAACAAAAACTTGATCCACAGAATTTAATACGGTGTTGGAACGAATGTATGGAGAAATCTTCATATTACAGTAGGAGAGCAGCTATCAAGGAATTTAACAAACAAAATTACTGGAAGAAAAGAGGGATTGCCATTGTACCAATGAAATTTCCATTTGGACTAGGCACACCTTACCTTTCTCAGGTGAGTTTCATTAAGTGTAACTGAGCTAAGCATTTTATCCATAGAAAATTACAGTCACTTTATCTGAGGATACAAAATAAATATGCATTCTTTTTCTGGAAAATTATAATCCTCCTGATGATTGTTCCCTGAGGAGGCTGTAGTAGCCTGTAGCTCTTTTCAAGCTGAGATCAAAGCTGCCTGGTTTTCAGGACCCAGGCAGCTTGGACCCTGCCTCCTTAAAGGCTAATCCCATCTGTTGAGGTGCAGTGTTGGAATAGGTGAGTTGAACGCACTTAGAAAAAGGTTTTGAAGACTGATAGCAGAATATTCATTGAATAAGTTGTCCACTCCAGAAATAGTGCTGAGCTTCCTCTTTCTGCCCGTGGATGTACTATGGGATGCTGCTCTTAAAGACTTAAATCCTTTGATGGTTCAAAGGCTAAGGTTACGGAAGCAGGAAAGGACAGTAGTATTTTTGCTCCTTGTATTTTTTTTTTTAATGTTAGGTGTTCAGTGCTTCTGAAACAGACAACATTCTATCAATTAAAATTAATTAATTGACTGACTTATGTCATAGCAAACTGGCTGTCTTTGTTCAACATTAAAGTCACAGGGTCTTTGTAGTCTACAGTGCTACTACTAGTCCAGGAAAAAAATCTCATTTGGAAATTCAACCTATGCTGTTTAAAAACCTCCAGGGCTCTGCCATATCAATGAGAGAGAAAATGGAACTTGCAGCAAATGGCACTTAGAGCCCTTAGTGAGGGGTTTCCTCCCATTTCTTCTGGAACCACTGAGATACTGTTGCCAGGTGTAGGTTTGTTTCAGGATCTAATAACAGAAAAGACCACAATACAAGGATTTGTATATTTTTCTTTCAAAGTCCATTATAGAGGAAGAGCAGCAAGTAGACTTTCAAATTTTGCCTTCTATTCAAAAGCACTAAACAGATAAACTGAAATACACTTAAACACTTTATATTGTTATTTTTATTCAGTTCATTACCACATACAACACATTTCCTCACTAGTCTGATATTGATTTTGTTTTTCTTTTTTAGGCTGCTGCACTGGTTCATATTTATACTGATGGGTCTGTGCTCCTGACACATGGTGGAATTGAAATGGGGCAGGGTATTCATACAAAAATGATCCAGGTAACAAATTACCTAAATAAATACTGCCATGTGCTTTATCTATCATGCAGATAAACAGTGTGAAGGTTTTCTTTTTGGTTAGTTAGTGTACCAGCAGGACAGTTTCTTTATTAGAATAACCACTACTACTTTACATTGATAGAGTTAGAAGGTAAAGTTGCCTTCATTAGTTCATAAAGGCAGAAGGAAGGAAAAAACAGACTGTTTTTTGTTCTTCCAATAGCATGTGAAGAGGCTTATTAGAAATAAGATTTTTGGGGGCTGATCCCATAAAACCCATAGTGAAAAAGGCAGAGATTACTCAGATTGATACAGTCAGGATGATAACATCATATCCTTTTTGGTCAATGGATAATTCTGAGACAGATCTGTGAAGGTATTTATAAAGTCAATGAAAGTTTGGGACCTTGGCTTGTGTAATTTGCTGTAAGTCTTACAAGGTATAAGCAGGAAAATCAGGAATGAATGTTGGATTTCAGAGTCTCAATGCAGAGTTTGAGTGCAGCAAGAACATTTTCTTTTTCTGTTTTTAAGTACTACCAAATTGGACAGAATTATTTCAGTTGGAGATTGGAAGAGAACTTGCTGAAATTTTCATCTTTCCTGCTACTACTGACTTCTAGCAAATACTGGGGAATTGTTGGAGTGTTTAGTTCTTTTCTAAAACAAAGACTATGTTGTTCCTGGAACAGGTTGCCAGTCGGGAATTGAATATCCCCATGTCATGTATCCACTTCTGCGAAACGAGCACAACAACTGTTCCCAATGCATGTGCCTCGGTAGGATCTGCAGGGACAGATGTCAATGGCATGGCTGTGAAGGTAAAGAATAGTATTTAGTTGAAAAAAATACCCTATCCCTTGAAGTGTTTGCTTGCCAGACTTTAGGCCCTAGTGATCCCATATATATCGAGTTTGGGATTATCAAGAATACTGCTGGAGATGACCAAGAAGACACATGACTTGACAGTTTCTCAGGAATGGTGTTTGAGTTTTCAAAATGTGATCTGGACTCTCCCAAAAAGGCTTATACTTGACAAAATCTCTGTTTCATCTAACAAGCTAACTAGACCCATACAAATCTTGCACCCTGTTCATGTTTGAAATCTACTGATTCATACAGATCCCAGCCCTTGTAACTTAACCATTTACACGTTTTATGTCTTTGTAGTCAATATGACACTTCCTGCAATACCTTTTCAAACTAAGATGACAGTAAAGCATATACTAATTAAATAGTAACTAGAACATAACTTGAATAGTACCAAATGTATCTGTGTTAATTTTGTGGTATATTCTCCCAATTCTCACCAGGATGCTTGCCACACTCTTCTGAAACGCCTGCAGCCCATCATCGAGAAGAACCCAACAGGAACCTGGAATGATTGGGTAAGACCTGTGAATCCTACTGAATGTCTTTGAGTGCTGGCAGAAACTGTGATAAATGTACTGTAGTCTATAAATCTGCTCAGCCTAATAATCCTCAAGTAAATAATCCTCAAGTTAAAAACTGTAGAAACAAGCTATCTCACAAAAAGATGAAACTCAAGGTTCTTGGCCAGGCACAAATGATTATGTGGAAGATAATAATTAGATTTATTGCTGGTACAGTATTTGAATATTGCCAGTGCAATATCCAAGTAACAAATCTGTAATCTGTTACAATGGATTATAGTAAAATCAAGTTCTGGTCCCTCCTGTTGAGTCATGAGCATCAGTGAGATCCCCGGCTTTCTAAACTCCTCAGAAGAGTCTAGGTGCAGCCAGGTCTGCTTAGTCTCAGATGTGGTCCACAGCCTATGTGTAAAGCGTTACAACATGTTGTAGTGTAACCTCAGCCAGCCACCAAGCATCGTGCAACTGCTCACTCATTCCCCCACCAGTGGAATCAGGGAAAGAGTCCAAGAGCGAAAGCTAGAAAACTTGTGAGTTTGATTAAAGACAGTTTAATGGATAAAGCAAAAGCCATACACACAACCAAAGCAGAGCTAGTAATTCTTTCACTCTTTCCCATGGGCAAGCAGGTGCTCAGCCATCTCCAGGAGAGCAGGGTGCCATCACACGTCATGGTTACTTGGGAAGACAAACACCAGCTCTTCAAACGTCCCCCTGTTCCTCCTGCTTCCCCCGACTTTGTGTTCTGAGCATGATGCCATATGGTCTGGAATATCCCTTTGGACAGTTATTCCAGCTTCCCATGCACCTCCAGCCTCCTCGCTAGTGGGGCAATCCAGAAGCCAGAAAAGACCTTAGCTCTGTCTAAGCCCTTCTTAGGAATAACAATAAAACACTAACCCAAAACACCTGATCTCCTCTGATAGATATACAATTAATCTGGATCATTCAGACACACCAAAAATATTATCAAAAATGGCTGACCAAAGGAAGGAATGTTAATATATGTAGAGAAGTAACTTTGTGTCTTGGAAAGTCAGTACAACCCAACCAAAAGCCTCACAAAAAATTCTTGACTTGTAAACTGAGTAAATCTAACATGAGAATCACTCAAAGGGAATAAATTTGGGTCCTCATATTGTCACTTTTTATGACTGGCAGAACTTTACAAAGAGCATTTATCTTGAAAACTGTCATTTTTATGCAAATAGGTCATGCAGATCTTTTGTGTCAGTGTGGTGGCTTGACCTTGGCTGGACTCCAGGTGCTCAACAAACTGCTTTATCACTCCCTTTCTCAGTGAGATAGGGGAAGAAAATAAGGTGGAAAAAAGCCAACAAGTCAGTGGGTTAAGATAAAGGCAGTTTATCCAAGAAAAAGCAAAAGGTTGCACATGCACCCAGTTGCATGACCCAATATAATCAGTGACTTATCAAGCAGCTCTGGTTAGCTGACAGAGAGACCCATCTCTGTTGAACACAATCAGAAAAACTGAGCAGATGACTATGGCATTGCCAGTAATAAAGATTTGCAAGAACACTGCTGTTGACAGGTCTATTCCTTCTTGTATTGCCAAAAGAATTCAGATTGTTCATACAAGAGGGGTTTAGTTCTGTGGTATTAGACACCATGTGCAGCTAAACATGCTTAACCCAGTTTGTCTTTCTTTCTTTACAATTTTGACTGTTTGGGTTTTAAGTAAATATGTGTGGGTAAGTATATATATAAATAAAGTAAATATGACTATGCTGTGTTCCTTCCTGACTCCTTCCTTGGTTTACCATAAGCACTGCTATATTTTTCAGATTAGAGAAGCTTTTGAACAGAGTGTGAGCCTTTCAGCTACTGGCTATTTTAGGTAATATATTTGTATTCCTTAAAAATGCATAAATTATACTAGGACTGATTTCTGAAGATAATTAATGCTGTAAAGAGTATGTCCTGTCTAATAGGTCTTTCTAATGGCTCATTTTATGTTTTATATAATTAGTTGGTATATGGAGGGTTGGAAGCATAAAGTTTAGGTGTTAATTTATGTCTAGTCCTCTGTGGCCTCTCTAGAAAGTATTAAAAGAATATTTTATGCCATCCTTTGCTCTATGGTTTCACATTTAGCAAACCAGTCAGTGTCAAGAAAGTGCTGCCTATAAGTCATGTGCAAAGTGGGATATAGTTGATTTACTGGAGCTGGATTACTATAAGCTATAAATGTCATTGTTCCCACTGCTCTCAGAGCAGTCTCTTGGTCCTTTTTCTTTGAATTCTTTCACAGTTTTTATAAAGAGCCAGAAATGAAAAATTTTTGTGCTATAACTCAGGTGGGATTCAAAGCTAAGCTTTTCTCTTGGCCTGCTGTGCCTTATCTCTTCTCTTCTTCTGCTGGTGGTTCTTCCTTATCAATAGCAACTTTTCAGGTCTCTGGCAGTCTGGAATAAGTTGAAAGGGCACTTGGGAAAACCATACTTTTATAAAACACCAAGAAATATCCAAATGAAATGTCCCTTCCTGCTGTTAAGCCTGTTCAAGTATGTTTTCTGCTTATGCAGCCCTTCAGGAATGTTGATATCACCAAAGTAATGCACAACAGTCATACTTTGCTATTGATATTTAATGGTGTCCAAAAACATCTGCACATCCTGTATTGATCTAGCTCTTAGCCAGTCATATTCTCTACTTCCAAGAATCTCAAAGGCAGCTGAGCTAAATGGATTATGAGAAGTTGAGTGTATGGATTTTGTGTATCCTTTTCTTGGTACATGGTTCTGTACTATATAATTGCTTTATGATAATCTTAAATATGCTCAACAAAGATATTTCAGTCATACATAGTCAGAAAATACACCTTAGTCACATAGCTCCCATGTTTGGAAGACAGCACATTTCACTGTTCTCTCATGTCCTTGGATTTACCCCATCATTCCTGACTACTATGGTGTCCTCTGTTAATCCCACTCCTGTCAAAGTAATTACACCTTTATTTCAATATTCCTCTTTTAACACTCTTACTCAATTCTGTAGGCTGTTTCTGTAATTTTGACTTTTTCATTTATCTCTTGTAAATTATTTTTTCATAGGTCCTGACAAATTTTCCTCCCTTTTTCTAAATTCCTTTATGTGCTATTACCCCAGTAACCACTATGTTAAATGTTTATTCTGTATTTGTACTGTGCTTTTATTAGTATATTTCTATGATTATGCTGGTTATAGACTCTCCTGAGCTGAAATAGCTTTTTTGTCTGCTACATTTTATATAAATACCAGAGGCTTCAAACCTAAAATAGCGGTGCTCTGTAGGTTTTCATGGAATTTTGAAGTTCTGAGCTGTTACTTAAGATTTCACTTAAGATGTTTAACTTAAGATTTCACAATCAGTTTCAAACTTATGTGCTTACCTGCTTTGTTATAATGCAAACTGTGGTCAGTTTTCTTCTTATGGACTTTGTTTCTTCCATCAGAGGTTACAATGAATACATGGATTGGGAGAAAGGGGAAGGACAGCCATTCACATATTTTCTTTTTGGAGCTGCTTGTTCAGAGGTTGAAATTGACTGTCTAACAGGCGATCACAAGGTAATAACTGAATGTCAGAGAAGTTTTGAAAGTAATGTGAATAAGGTTTGCTCCAACAATCAATCAGATTTGGGGTTAATAAGTCAACTGTCTTCACATGTTAGTAAATATATCAATGGTGTAAATATGAATTACAGGTGGAGCAGAATGGAAGCTGTGCAGTATTAACCAGCTTCTGACATACATGTCAATGTCATTTGTGTTCACCTTTTGGGTTATGGCTGACATCTAACGTGTTCTTTGCTTGTTCTGTCCCTGTATGCCAGCAAACACCTTATAGCAATATTCAATTTCCAGGCTTTTGGCCACCTGGACAGCTAAAGGCTATAGACTGATGACCATATGGCCTCTTTCTGTACATTTGTATGAGGGTTTCCTTGTGCAATGGGAAAAATCTGGCAGGGCTGTCTCTGGCCAAACTTCTGTAAAAGTTGAGACAAACCCATTTTGCCTCTGATGAGATATTGGATGTTATTCTGAAATAATGTACATGGAGGGCCTCTATATCAGTATTTCTTATTTCACTGAATTCCAGCTCTAACCCACATTATTTTCTAATGCTTTCATTCCATCTCTCTGGGTGGTATAAATTTAAATTTTATTAACAGAACCTCAGAACAGACATTGTTATGGACATTGGATGCAGCATAAATCCAGCTGTGGATATAGGACAGGTACGTGCCAAGAATTTTCTGATGCCTTATTTCTATTACACTATTGTCCTCATGTGAAATAATTACCTCATTCAGAAAATATTCTTTTCTTACTGGATTATAGATCTTATTAGAATGTCTCTTGCCTATAGACTTGCTCCAATTGAATCAGTGTCAGAACTCTATAGATGTCAAAGAAGCTTGAATTTTACCCATGGTTTCAACCTGTAATACTTCCAGTATGTGTGGATGTCTTCTGTGTACTGGACTGAAATCCTGTTTGTGATCTACAGTCTCCAAGCTGTTTGATCTGCCTTCCTTGATAGCAAGGAAACATCTTTATTCATTGCAGGCTGGTCCACAGATCTCATTGCTTCCTTATACAAGCATTTATCTTCTCAGGTATGAGAGAGGATTGTGAAAGCTTTTCCATTATAGTTGCCCCAAAATGTTGAAGCATCTCGTTAGGCAGACATTAGTGCATTAGTCCTCACATATATCACAGTAACAGCTAGTGATACAAATGAGTTCTTGGTGAAGTTTTCTCGGTTAACCAAACATGAGTACATAAATGCTATTTCTTTTCTTATTTAAAGATTGAAGGTGCTTTTGTTCAAGGTGTTGGACTGTATACAATGGAGGAGTTGAAGTATTCTTCAGAAGGAGTCCTCTATACTCGGGGTCCAGATCAGTATAAGATCCCTGCTGTTTGTGATGTTCCAGAACAGTTTAGTGTTTCCCTGTTGTCACCTTCTCAAAATCCTTATGCCATCTATGCATCCAAGGTAAGCAGATGATCACAGGGCCTAGTTCTTACATCCCAGGCCAAACTGAGAAATTACTTTGATATAAAACACATAAGTTTTCAGTTCCTCTCCTTTAGCATTTCAAACAAGTGTCCAGTAAATTGTTTTATTTATAACATCAGGGAAGCTAATAAGACATAAAGCCAAATATTGTTGTGTCACTTTAATGGTTGGCAGGTAGTGATTTTAGAGTTTTGTTAACAGACCATACACAAAAGCTGCAAGATCAGTTTAAAACCATACTTTTAAATGTGGTGATAAACTGAAAAGATAGAATAAAAATATTAATTGATGGAGAAATTATAATGTTATTCAGAGTATGCAGCTCACTTATGTGACTATGCAATACAAAATAGGACTATATGTGTGTATTTATATGAGAGACTGGCTTTTTAATATCTTTTTCAGGGGATAGGTGAGGCAGGATTTTTCTTGGGATGCTCTGTGTTCTTCGCTTTGAGGGATGCAGTAACTTGTGTGAGAAATGAAAGAGGACTGAAAGAGACCTTTGCACTGAACAGCCCCCTGACTGCTGAGCAAATACGGGCAAACTGCGCTGATGCCTTTACTGAGATGGTAAGAGAAGCTGGGGGAAGGCTCTGTGCAACAGTGGCTAGGTAGGAGTGTTTGCTGATTTTGGCACCCCTGAATAGCGGAGTGCCTAATGATGTCTCCAATCAGTCATGCTTTAAATACAGCTCCTTGTAATTGAAATGTCTGGTAACAGGTCTCGTTCACACAAGTTTTTTTTTTTGCTTTGAAATCTACATAATTTTTACAGCCCTCTCTTTCCCTGAACCCTCCTCCTTTCTTCTGCATGTCAAATCCCATAGAGGATTAAATAACCCATCTTATTAACATGCAATGGATCAGGCTCTAAGCCTTCTTCCTTCTCCTTCCAGGTGCTTTGCCCCCCTGACTGCATGCTGGCACTGTCACTTCATTCTAGTTCTCCTTGCTATGCCCAGTACTCTTTGGGAGAGAAATAATTAACTCAGAGCTAACACAAAGAGACAGAAGCAAAACAAACAAAGCAATACACTTCATATAATGCTGATCCTTTGTGCTCTGTTTTCTGCAACTGTTCACTGTCGTTCCACTGTTATTACAATTCTTTTTCTGGGTAAGTTTTTACTTAGTGAGGCAAGGTCCTTGCCAGCATATAAATCCATGCTGTGCCCTGAACCTCTGTGGCTCTGCTATGGAAACTCTTGAGCTCTCATTCACAGATTACTGCCATGGTATTTCTGTGACTGGGGTGAGGCACCACTGGCCCCTGAATCAGTAGGTTTGTGGGTTTACTCTCATTGCAGAAGCTTGCAGTAGGTGAGATCCACCAGAGCAGGGGCCATGCTTCTCCATCCCTCTTTAGTCCTAATCCCAGTTATCACTGACTTGGAGGCACCTGATAAGGGCAGTGCTGGGAGGTTGCCAGTCAAATCAAGTCACTGTTGTCATTTCTTGCTTCTCTTAGATGGCAAACAATGAAGCTTCTTCCTCCTTGGGCCACATCTGTGTGAATGACAAACCATAGTGCACAAGACCGGAATGGAAAACTGATTTACTGCCCCAAGACACACTAATCAACACACAGATAAATGTATTTTCTCTTTTTCTGAATAGAATCAGCTACCAAAAATATGCACTTCATATCTTACATCCTTATCTTCATTCTTCCTCCAGTGTACATATTACAAAATATTAAGTATTTTGCTTAAATGACTGCATTTAATTGTCAGAAATAAATCTTCTGCATTTGAACCATATGTTTTCAACAAAAAAGATCTGATTAGCACAGCTTAAATGCTGCAGGAGATGAAAGTTAGAATGAAGTGTAAAGGTATGCTAGATAACTTACTGTCATGTATTACACTTCACAACTTCATATGATAAATGATTTTGTAATGGCTTCAGCTAATTTTCTAATTTAGATTTGAGTCTTGCAGTGAAGTGTAAGTGCAGAGATCTTTGTCAAAGAATCAGAATCTTGTTTGTTGGATTTAGAACCTTTTTGACCAGAAGTGATACTCTGACTTGTAGTAAAGCTGGTTTAGAATCTTTTGGCACAGGTATCTTTGTGTTAAAAACATGCAAGAAACAACAGTTATGATTCTCTTTTGCTATGCCAGGCAAGTTGCCATGGCTGGTCTAGATATACAGAATTTTATCCCAAAAGTTGACAGAGTTGTAATTTCCACCAGAAGCTTTCTTCATCTTATGGAGCAAGCCAAAAGCCTCTAAACAGAATGGGAAAATTGACATGGAGTTCAGTGTGCTTTGAATGGGAGAATGGATGATATGTCAGCCTGCAGGCTCTTATTATTTCACTACCTTTCAGTGTTCCGAAATTTCTCTTGTCTTCCCTTCATTTTTTGAGCTGATGTGTATCTGTGACAGAAATCAGGTCAGTCACTTTAACAGCTTTTGCATTGGCTATTAAGATATGAAATCTTTATTGTTTCAATTTGTCTCTCTGTAACCATGGTGAGGTGGTGAAATGCAGTTGCTTAAACACAGGTGTCTAGAGCATTTTAGATGTCATAAGGCAGTAGAGACGTGGCACAGGAGAGCATAGGATTGGAAGAAATGATACAGCAGCTTGAGACCAGGCAGGTAACAGTAATTGTAATCAGTGGAAGTGGTACTGAAGGTGACTTAGCCAGCTGAAGCCTTTTTGGGGTTTACTTCATTTTCTTCACTTTCTTTGTATTAATTTGGCTTTTATATATTGCTAGAAGTCAATAAATTAAATGTGAATGCTGCTGTCACAGTTAGTTTTTCTGATTTGAAACATTTTCTTAATTTCACTCTTTGGTGTTACAGTCTGATTATAAGAGATGCCTCTGTCTAAGGTGCAAATGAGACTCTGTGCCCAAGTCAATATTCCCAGAGTCATTCTTCTGGAAGTACTACCTTTCTAGAGTCCAGGTCCTGGGTATCCATGGGGCATACATGCCATTCCACTCATTTGAGATAGCGTGTGTATAAGCACTTGTTTGCTTTCCCATATTTTGTCACAGTGGGAATTTTTTCGCAGTGCTAACCAAACCTTTACTTCTGGTAGGTCTGGAATCAGCTCCTTCCTGCTGCACCAGCTGTGCTTATCTCAGGCTCCATTATCTTAAGGAGACAGTGTTTTAGACAGGCAACAGTCCGTACATAAGGGTTTAAGTGCTTTAAGTCCTTACATATGGGTTTGTCAAGGACAGCTTGCAAACCCACATGTCGATAACAGCCCAAAATATGTGTGAATCTGGGATACACTGAAGCAGGGAGCATACAGATCTACTGAACTGGGGGGATGTTCTATTGTCTCTTGTATTAGGTACCAGCACGGGTTCTTGTTCATTACAGGTAAGTCAAATCTTGTCAAAATCTTGCCCAAACCTTGCAGGCAATGATGTCTCCCCGCCTGCAGTACTGAAGTGTTCACACTCCAAGGATTCATCACATTCGAGACCCGCACTTTGTTTTCTGCAGTGCAAATCTTGTCTTCTTCTCAGTCATTATTAACAAAGATTCCTCCATGCCACTTTACAAGTGGCTCTTTTGTCTAGTTGCCTAAATTCTATAAATGTAGCAAATATGGGTTATTGAGTTTTCTGGGTCTGAAGCATATGAAGCTGTCTGCTGGATTTTAAGTGTTTAAAAAACTTCCTGGAAGTTAGACATTTCAGCAATTCACCATTCTGACAGTTGCTAATATGGCTATGTTGGATATTATGAAAGAAGTACTCTTATCTGTAGGGAGGTAGATAAGCAGAAATGTTAGACTTCAAAGGCACTGGCATATTGGATGGCTATTGACACATGAATGTGCACTGTGACTGCACAGTTACACCCAAACTGGAGATGGTTCAGAAGAACTTTCTACTGATTTTCTTCATGACAGCAATGTTCCTGTAGCAGTCTACCCTCAGCAGGCCCATTCCATGGGGTGAAAGCTTAAATACCTAACATAAATACTAGGTTCTGATTTGGAGGGTTAGCCTGTAAATTAGATATTCTTAGGCCTTTGAGCCTGCATTGTTGTACCTACAATGCATGAGGAATGCTACAGTGATCACTACTACTGCACTTGGCAGGACCCATTAGGGCTTTTTCCTGCAGGGACCTAGTGACTGACATCACTCCAGGGTTTGTGTTTTGGTAGCTCTTGGGGATATGTTAGGGGATAACCACAAAACCAGCAGCCTGTCTCTGCTGAGAATCACCTTATTGCCTTCCAAGGGGAGTGGCAGAAGATTGGGGACGGGCTACTTCATCCTGTAAGCCTTCAGTCACTCTAAGTGAAGTACAGACAGCTTTGCGGTAAAATGTAAAAATAGTAAATGAAACAAAAGACAGGTATGTACAATGAAGACTTAAAAGATATATCCATAATTCCCCTTAGAAAAAAGAAAAGGCCAGCTGTAGCAAGGCATTTAAAGATTATTTTGTTTCCTGGACATGTATACATACAAATGGATGAGAATCTAGAATCCCAAATCAGGATTTGGGATTTCTCTCTTTAAGAACACAGCATGTGTTGAATATGGTACCCACAGCAGAAAGGGCATAGAACTGGCATGGCATAGAGATAACCAGAAGGAAATTTTAAATCTGTGTAGAGTAGTAAAGTTGATTTTGTTAAAATTTGGCCATTCTGCAGAAAGAAAAGATTATACATAGTTCAGGTCATGCCAAAATGAGAATTGTGGCTCCACAGCTTTGCTTTTGACACTGTAGAGAGGAGGGTAATGTTGAATGTCCTTGGTTTTAGCTTCAGGCTATGTATTCTAAATTCATCAGTTACTGGATATTATACAGACCTGGAAATGAACAGGATAAACAGACTTGGAAGTTGTAGTTCAAACCCAGAAGTTCCCCCTCACAATTATCTCTTATGTTACAGGGTTTGAATTAGAGGACCTCAATTTCTTTGCAGATTATTTCAAGTCACCAGAGAACAGTTAGGGTGGGGAGTAGGAGGTGGTGCATTAGCATCAGAACATGCATTCATTACTGAGAAATGGCAGACATTGCACTGGCTCATCCCCACCTGCTTATTTTCAGACTGAGCATCAAATTAAATTCTGCAGGACAAAGCAAACTCAGTCGACCTTTAGGAGCATACAGCATTTCATTAATTTCTTGTGATACCTAAAGCTGTATTTTGATGCAAGAGCATGGCTTGCTCTCAACATTCAGATAAGCAAATCTTTTTTGTGACTGGCAGAAAGGTAAGTTGTGAACAGAAAGGTAAGTTTATGAACAGAACATAGCTATACAATCCAGCACTGCATTTTCTCACAGTAAGCATTGTGCCCAATGTGGCTGCAACATGTTTGTTATGACCAGTTTCAGGAAATACTGGAAGATCTTTCTTAAGGCTTCATGTATTTCAAGCAAAGGTTTAAGAGTGACTAGTCTATCATCTTCCTGTTGAGTAGTCTGTGAATAGATTTAACAGAATTAAAGATGAAAAACTCAATTTGGACATCCTGAATTTTTGAGTGCAACTCAACTTGTAAAGTGTCGAAACTCCTTCTCACCCTAGGAAAGAATCTCACCTGTTGACAGACTTGCAGCTTAACCTTGGTATCTGCATTCTTCCTCCACCCCCCTTCATTTTCTTTGCAGATCCTTTCAGGTCTTTGCAATCCAGAACAATTCCCACCAATGGATCCAATACAGGAATTTATATTTCCTCCTGAGCTAGTGGTAGACCTTACTGATATTTGTTATCCCAAGCATAACTGAGTTCCTACAAATTTTGAAAACCTGATGTTTTTGTGAAACTGAAAGATCTATTCTCAGATAAATAGAAGATGCTAGTTTTAGTCACACATAATGAGACGTTTCAATGTGAATAATCTACATGTTAACATTATTACAAATACCTAACTTTTTCAAAAAAGAAATTGCCTCTGCAAAACCAACTTTTTTTTTTTTTACTGTAGTGTTTTCTCTGAAAGATCCCAAATGAACTTCTCCATCTTTTCTGTCTTGTATTCTCTGTTGGATGGCTTCTTCCAGCGGGGACATAGACCCTAACAACCTGAAACTGGACTTAGGTGCAGGTCCACAGGAAAGGCAATGGACTTGAAAAGGAAAGAAGAGTGTTAATTGCAGTAGTTATGGAAATTCACAGAAGGACAGATGAAAAGTTGAAAGGGGGGGAGGAGGAGGAAAGGCCCATGACAGAGGCAAGAGATCTGTGAGAATGGTAGTGCAGGATTTACCCAGACCAGACTGAGTAGAATCCAAGCAGTCAGGTTCAGACTCTTATTTTTAATCCTCACTCATGTTTCAGTAGCTTCTTGCAAAATTCTTTGTTTGCATTTCTTTTGCAAATGTTCGTGGGCAGTTCTTGCTGCTATTACACAACCACCTCACAGGCACAAAAGTTCATTTGAGTTCTGAAAATGCGTGGCACAGTTCTTTGGTTTGTTATGATATCACAGAGTGCTATTTGCTGCAAGGCAGTTGGCTTTGTAAACATTTGTCAGTGCAACTTTCTTATTAAATGATTGCCTCTCAGTGCAGAACATTCATAGTAAGGCATAAAATCCTTTATGAAACCATGAAAGGGAAAGTAAATCTGCCTTTCTGCTACTTGCCCTGCCTTTGAGACTCATACTTTAGAATGCAAGTATTAATGTTTTACAAATCTTATACTTGGATTAAGATCATGGCTAAACTGCTGCTGGTTGATAAAGCTGGTCAGACAGAAAGAAGATGCCACCATCTGCTCTGCATGTTCAGATTGAGCTGCCAGGAGGAGTGCACTGCTTCTCCAGCCCACACAAGGTATCCATAGCAGTAAGATTATGATTGGTTTCACAAACACCAAGTGGTCTTTTTGTTTTTCAGCTATGTCATTTACCTAGAAGGCCAGTCCAGAGTTGCAACAGATCTTTGACTTGTCCACTGGTGCTTTAATTGCATTTTCTGCAAAGATAGGTGTTTCTCAGGGATTGCTTTTGCATATTTTGAAGCCATGATTCCACATGGCACTTGTCAAGTATGAAAAGAACATACATGATATCCTCAGGAGGAAAAAAAAGCTATATATATAGGTAAGAAACAAGGTGGCAGAAAACCACTTTGATTAACATAAATACTGATCAAGGAGACAATACTTCTGGAAAGACAAATTTTTAAAACATTTATATACTGTAGAAACTAGTCTGGGTCTAGCATGGTAGATACATGACTCAGCAAATAGGGATGTAGTGATCCTCCCTGAGAGAACACACTTCTTGTATTCTGCCACATATGCAGTGAGATTTTAGCATCCTGATTTCCCCTGAAGTCTAGTAACATTGTTTTACATTATACACAAGGGAAATCTTTCAGAATCTTCAGAGTAGGAAAAAGAAACATAATATTAATCTTCTCCTACTGTTTATTTTGTGTGTCTCTTACAATGTCATTTAGTTCATTCTTATTTCAGTTTCCTGAGCAATAATATAATTATGATATAAGCTCAGCACCACAGGAACCTCAGGTGAAAAGCTTCATTAATGTCTCACTGCCTGTCATGACAGTGTCCTATTGAGCAATACGGTGGTTCATACTGGCAGTAGTCAAATTTACCAATCTTTGTCATTTCCATCACAGAGAACGGCTCAAGAGCAACAAAGAACTGTGATTTTCCGTGAGAAGAGAACAACACAGATTTCTCCCCCTGGCCTGAGGAAGCTGAGGGAATGGCCATTGAGGGGTAGAAAAGTAAACCTGGTTTCTGTCAACAGAAATGATATGAGAGAGGACTTCTGAAGGGAACAGT